AGTTCGTCGCCAATCCTGACCAACTCGATACTGATGGAGATGGCATTGGTGATGCCTGCGATAATTGCCCCCTCCTCTACAACCATGATCAAGATGATTCTGATCTTAATGGATACGGAGACGAATGCGAAGCTTGGCAAGAGGTTGATACGTGAGTGTTCTTTATAATGCTCTTCTTTTCATCCCATTTCTTCTCTTTCTGCTGTTTTTCTTCTTCATCATCTTCTTCGTCTTCGTCTTCGTCTTCTATTTCTTAAAATTCTTATTATTCCGTTATCATCTATTCTTTTCTATTCTATCATTGTTCCTGTAATTTAGTATCCACTTCCTTTTTAAATGCTATACTGATTTTATATAGTAATCGATGCATAAACGATGCCTATAAGCGCTTTACATCGGGGGAGAAATAGTATTACCCAGTCATTGGATTCGGGATTTCACCACACGAAATGTATGCACACTATCCATGCCCTGAGGAGTATGGCCAGGTGCCTTTTCCGGACGCTCATCATGCTGAGCAAACTGTGCAATGAATTTCGCATCCTACCGAATATCTTATCAACACCAGGGTGAAGAGAAGCAACGTAGATATAAATGCCTCTTCTTTCATGTCGGTATTAGAAAATGCGACAAGGTGTGTAAAAGCCGGGACTTGGACTTATAAGCAAAGTCCAACCTGATTTTGAGATGGTTTTTATACAATCAGAAACATGAGAGAAACAGATCCGTGAAAGTTTGAGCAAACAACGATTACAAATAAGAAAGTTATGAATTGTTAAAGGTGCTACCAATTGAACACAAATTAACAACTCTGTGACGTACCTTGCGAGGTCCTCTCCCATTTGCCCTGTACTAAAAAAAAAGAATCAGCAATTTACATTTCCCCTTTACAGAACGTTCAATTATAAATTCACTCTAAATAAATTTAGTTCAAATATGTTGGAAAACAACCCCTGTATGAAACTAATTATATTCCGTAATCAATAACTAAAAAAATAAAAGTTTAGAACACTCTATTTACAGAGCAAATTGGAGAAGAACTCGTAGAATACATTACACTAATGATAACTTGTACAAAAAACCATAAATTTTAATCGGATATTGCTTCATCTTTCACTAATTTGTATCTCTAATTTGTCTGCTTTTATTGAAGCAAACTTAACATGAAGGTGGACTTTTCCTTAAAAACTTTGGGCTTGATTAGGATGCTTAATTGTAATTTGTTTACATCTTTAATATGAAAAACATTTGATTAATCCGTAGATTAATTTCCTCTTATATCTCCTTATAATTTCCTCCTTCAGTGATGGTGACAGTGTATATGATTTCCACGACAATTGCCCCGATGTTCCAAATGCCGAACAGAGTGACATTGATGGCGATGGCAAAGGTAACAATTATTTTAGAAGAGTACGAATTTACAAATAGTAAAAAAAGTGAAAGGCGTTATTATTCTAAAAAAGAATGAAACGCCGATAATACGAAACAACAACAACAGTTCAAAAGTAGATCGGTCTCCTGTTAACCTTACAGTGTGATGATTAGGTCTGTTGGGTCGAATAATCAGCCTTCTGAGAGTTATCTGAGGGTTCACGAAAATGATTCCCCATGAGACCGACATCCGATGAGCATGACGTGTCTGACTTCTTGGATTGTTGATATGTTTCCTGCCAATTTCGGTAATTACCGTGGCGAACAGTGACAGTTTGGTGGGGTATCAATGCAATGGGACTTCCTGGTCGTTCGTCTAAGCTTCAGGTCAATTGTTTCTACTGCTACATATTCTTGGTAGTTAGGAGTTCCCGGCCCCTCCACTCAGTGTTATTTAGGGTACGCATATGCATGTTCCCTCCTTTTGAAAACACCCCCTAAGTCCGGTGTGTAAAGTCTTGTTTGCGTATGTACGAGCCGGACTTTTGTGCGTGAAAAGTACCCCTTTACCGGACATTTTGGCAACACGAATGGTATCCCTCCGTTCACGGAGTAGGAGGCCGGGTAGGAGTCTTAGCATTTATCATTTTATTATTACTCACAGCATTAAAAAAGTGTAAACAAATGGCCAAATCTATATTTTGTTCGCGTGTTTGTCTTTTTTTATTTTAAATCGACCCAAAATTCGAATGAAGGTCTTGACTATAGTTGTCCTCACCCTTATCCCTAAAAATGCACTTTGTTATATTTTGTTCACTTGTTACTGTCTCCTTCTATTCTAAACTAAACTCTTCTTCTTTGTTTTCTGTTTAAGGAGATGCATGTGTCTCTGACGCCGATGGTGATGGCCATTGGGATGAGGTCGACAATTGTCCATTGGTCCCAAACACGGATCAATCAGATGAAGACGGTGTGTATTAAACCATGTTACCATTCTTCTAATTGGCGCCTTGGATCAATTAGAGTGGCAGTAATCACGCGTGCTTCCTGCAACTCTATGGAAGGCCGTTGATGACTTTAGTCACATCTCCCAGACGTATGGAACGCGGCACACGTCTGCTAAATAAGAGGCAGACGTCTGCTAATTGACCAATCACCGCCTGTTATTTAGCAGACATGTGCAAGGTGCGATAGCACACGTCTGCTAGTTTATTAGCACACGTGTGCACTTTTCCATACGTCTGAATAAAACCTTATCGGAGATCATAGACAAACATAATAATGTGTAACACTGTGGTGTATACAAACATAATAATGTGTAACAATGTGGTGTTTTTCTAAAGAAAACCTTATCGGAGATGCGTGTGAAGGGGACGCAGACGGAGACGGGTATGATGATCAGGTGGATAACTGTCCGAGAAACCCACGTCTACATAATGCTACGTGGATAGATGGAATATCAGCCAATCTCAGAGACCCACAAGAAGACGTTGTGTGGAGCTTCACTCATAAGGTCTGTATTTATGTAGACTATTAAGCACCCTGTGGTGTCATTTCAAGCTGGATATAGTATAGCCATATAGTAGCCATTTAAGGCCTAACTGCACTAGTTTGGCCAGGAGGGATTACGCCTCCCTGCATGGTTACTGACAGGTGGTTATCTCATCAAATCAGCTTTCAATTAACATAAGATAAAGGGGACCATGGGGGACCATGGGGGACCAAGGGTCACCGATTAGGCATTGTTTGCTATATAGAGGGTGCAAGTAGCTATAAGTAGTTCACTGTGGCTTTAACACTTTGGTAGCTTTCAGCAAGTCTCTGAACTGTGGCTCATTAGCCACCAGCGCAATTTGGCACAAATCAAAAGGCTCCGATAGAAAGATCAGTTGGTAGAACCATGGACCTATTACGGATGGACATTCAACGTGATTCTTTCTTTGATCCAATGATAGTCCCTGCCTTCTGATTATGTGCATTTTAATGAGAACATTCAGCTGTTTTTAACAATAATGACTGCGTAAGAATTTTCGGTCATTGACAAAGGAGCAGTTTCCCCTCTCTTGGGTTTCGTTTGGATGGTGTGCTATGTAAGAGTATGTCTTAAATAAAAAAATCCCCAATGGGGAGCAGCAAAGTTGAAAGGCAGACGATTTTGGTGATATGAAATTTATTATTACTGATTTGCACACTTTTGCACGCACCAATGACCTTATAAAACAATTAGAAGGCCATAATCTTTATAAGCCCTGTGCGTTGTAATTCTGGAATATTATAAGGAAAATGGGGAAAACGGGATTTTACAATCCAAACAAAACCTATCTGGTAATATCAACATGTTTTTCAAAAATAGAACAAAGTACACGGAACAACAATTTCCAATTATTAACCAGAACTGCACGTCTATTTCCCATGATTAAAGCGATTTATTATCTTCTGCGCATGTAGATTAATATGTTTAAGATTACTATCTTGATTCCGTACCGGCTTATTGGCGGTGACCATCATGAGATCAAAGTGAAGAATCATGTACGGAATGTTATTGCGACGACATTGACGAAGACAATCACAATGAATTCGTTAAGAAAACGATGAATGTCCATTCGTAATAGGTCCATGTTAGAACGTAATGGCTTAGCGAAATTACCCACACAACAATAATTTAGGAGCGCCCGGAGTGTCAACTTTGACACTCCTCTTATTATTAATATGAACCCTGTTAGCACCTGCTTGGGATAAAGGGATCCGATAACTTTCACTCAGATTCTGAAACAATATTCTGGATTTAGCTCATGCTGCAATGATAATTATTAACCTTTACAAGCCGCTCGCCTGTCTGATTATCAAGATATTTATGATTGGAGGTCGAAACCAAATTTTGCGTTTGCCAAACGGTTTTCATAACACTACAGTATTGGGGAAAACGAGTATGGTAAAACCGGTCACTCAAAGATTTTTACTTTTTTGAGGCACTTCTTGATCATTTTGAAGCGCAACTTTGTTTGAGGGGCTTCAACATTACAACATATCACAGACACTGATAACACGTAGGGCCGTGTTTCTCAGATTGTTAAACGATTCCTTTAACATTGGACTTTAAACAGGTGAATAATCCTGAAGCCTTTGGAATGACTATCCCATGATAGATACACTATTGCATAGTGAGGTTATTTGTATGGCATATAACGAGTTAAAGATAAACTTGAGTGCTGGTAAAAAAAAAAAAAATGAATTCTCACAGAATCTAACGAAACTTACACTGAATGTTCAAGATTACAAATAAATGTCATGCGCCAAACAATTTTGGAAGAAAATGTATACTGGCTGAGTAATGAGCATAGAAAGATAAGGAAATCAAGGTAGTACTAGCCCCGACACCATATGTGTTGTCCCATATACATCTTTCTGTGTACAGTTATTGTTACTTTACCAAGACTGGGCCAAATTTATGACGATTTTCATGACTCCAGAACCTTGCATTACACACCAATACTTACATGCTATATGATTAACTATTCTGATCCATTCCACACCTTTTCTTTCACAATGCAATTGCATTACCAGAACTCACCTTTATCTTTAACGTTGTCAATTCGTTGCAGGGGAGAGAGGTCCGTGGTCCTTCGGGGATGCAGGACCCCGCGTTGCTAGTCAGCAAAGAAAAGATTGGTGATGTGGTCTTCTCGGGCACGATGTACGTGGACAGCGACGAGGCTACAGGAGAGGATATGTGTATTGGTCTCGTGTTCGGGTACCAGAACACCAAGAAGTTTTATGTAGTGCAATGGTGGAAGACTTTTCGTCAGAAGGAAGATGATGAGGAATGGATAAGCAACCTTGGTGGGTTGGTCATCAAGGTGCGTAACCAGCAGGGGGTCCTAACCCTTTGTTTATATAGATGAACATGTGGTGAGTGACGAGAAGGCTAGTATGCCTTGGGATATAAATCTTCAAAAATGCTTTGGAGATTAAGAAGGAAAAAAAGGGCAACAATTTATTTTTATTTTATTTTAATTCAAAACTTTATTTCAAATTCAATGTTTAAAAAAATATGTATGATATACAAACATTATAGCAAAACAAAATAAAGAACAAGAAATAAATCATAAAAACAGAGTGTTAAAAAAAGACTAAGCAAAATAAGATAGGTTACTCAAAGTTAGGAACACAATTTAAAGAAATTAACACCAAAATGAAAAGGAAAAGGGTTTGCGCGTAAAAAGTCAAAAGAGGGTTAATGGACATTGCACATGTCCATGTCAATTTGAACAAAGGTAAGATTCGGAACTTCAAGGAAATTACCCATACAGAAAATGTGAGCTTTGACTTAGCTTTGACTTTGAATTATATTGTTTATTTAATGATATCATATGTTATTTTCCACATACTAAGAATCTTGCTCTACGATTGGTCAAAAGTAAATCACGTGGTGAAAGATTGTTCGCCCGTCATTGATGGGAGAGGAAAAGTTCGTTGCACTGTGTAGATAGTACTCTCTAAAAATAATCGAGTGATCACGGACGTCACTCCTCTGGAGAGTGAAAATGTAGTGAAAATAGAGTGAACATTCACTTTTTTCTTCTTAGAGACCACTCGAAAATCAATCGATATTCACTCCTAAACAAGTGATCACGGACGTCACTCCCAAGAAAGTGAAAATAGAGTGAAAATTCACCCTTTTTTTTAGAGAGAGAGTAGTGCTATCTGCACAGTGCAACGCACTTTCACTGAAAATAGAAGTACTATCTACACAGCGCAACGCACTTTAATTGTATACGTTGCGTATATTGCTCTCTTCTTTAAAGGGGCACGTTCCCGCCAGTGTAGTTATCGCTGCTCTAGTCATCGCCATCTTGGTTCCGAAGAACGACTTCTTATTTGCATACAGCTGTCAATCAAAGTACGCGCGTCCTGGCCTGCCTTCGCCAAGCCAGCAGATCGCTGCCGATTGTGACGTCACGAAAGTGGGCGGAAACAGCAGCCGAATCTTAGAGCCGAACTGCGATTGGTATTACTTCGGCACATGTATGCGATAATCGGCATTGCGCGGGCATTCGGAACATGCCGTCTGCGTAAGAGCCGTATTCTGTTGGTGTCAATAGGCAGCTAGCACCGTCCGCCAGCGGGTACGTATTTTGAACGCCCTCTGGAATACGGGGAACATGCCCCTTTAAGCGCTTTTAGTGTTAGTACGCGAACTTTGGTCACGCGCGAACTATATGGCCACACCACCATACTGCATGCACTGTACGTATCGTACACTGTTTGCTAGCTGTTATTTGATGACTTGTTGCTCTAAAATGACGGAAGAAGTGAAATGTTTCCGATGTGGAATATAAAGCAAATAAACACCTTTTGGTTTCAGGCGATGGCAAACTATCACTTCCTCGGCGATCTGAATGTATACGCCTCGGAAGTGATAGTTTGTCCCATCACCTTCGCCAACGGTAGTTATTTCCTTATTAATTACAATCCTGATTGGATTTTTTAAAAAATGTGAAAGAATGATAACGCCATGAACTCTAACCCAGACCTAATTGTCGCCAACTCCATATCTGCATTAGATACAGCTCGTAGTAATGTAGTAATGTAGTGGTGGTTATTTTACCTGACTGCTAAGAAAGCACAAATGCTTGTTAGTAAGCAACCAGAGGACCGACGGATTAAGGTCCTCTCCGAGAGACCTCGTAATGAGGATTCATTCTTTTACCAAAGGGCACTAGCGCATCGTCTTGGTTTCGAACCCGGGTCACCGGATTACGATACCACTGCTCTACCGGCTGAGCTATCGCGTCTCCTCGTATTTGCGAAGCAATCAATTCATAATTGATTTATTTTCTTATTTTCTTGCCACATCATCCTCCGAAATTTGTATGAGCAGACAGTTTTGGCTAGCACAAACGATGACAAATTCAACAGCGCCCTCTGGTACCTCGGAGGTTACAACGACTATACAACAAGAGTATGGCAAGATCTGGATCTGAAGCCTTGGGAATACAAGACGCCATATAGATGGAAGCTCGTACACCGTCCGTCCATTGGCAAATTCAGGTAACGAGATTCGGTCATTGTTTTTGCATTTTAAAGCCCCACTGTCCTACTTGTAACTACTTGCTCCCTCTGTATAGAAAACTTCCCCAATCGGTGCCTGTTGGTCCCCCATGATCCTCTTTTTATTATGTTAGTTGAGAGCTGAGTTAATGAGATAGCCACCTGTCAGTGACCTCGCTGTGTGGTCTAATTCATTCTGGCCCAGTAGTATTGACGGTCTTTAATACTAATATGAATCAATGTACACGTAAACATGAACATAAGTTCTCCACAGTTGATATAGGCCTACTAATGAGCGAGATTCTGTGATTATGTTGGCAATTTAAAGATAAAGTTGAGTTCTGGTCATGTGATTGCATTGTGAAAAAAACGGTGTGGAATCTATCAGAAAAACGTTGATCATCAAGTATATTAGTATTCGTGTGTATTACAAGGTTCTGGAATTATCAAAATGATGAGAAATTTGGCCAAATCTTGGCAAAGTTACAAGCACTGTACACAAAATGATGTATATGAGACTACACGAACACGTAGCGAAAAAAAAATCCGTCCCTGGATTTTATTGATGTTTCATGTCATATTAAGAATATGATGAAGGCATTTGAAGAGCAATGCTTTTCAGGGAACATTTTTAATCTGATGTTCTTCTACCCTTGCTTAATAACAATGATAACGCTAAAAAAGTTGTTTACCTCTTCCCAGAACTCTCTAAAGTTTATGCACTAACAAGCTAGCCAATCGTGTGGTCCAATATACATATTTCTGTGTACAGTGCTTGTAACTGCAAGACTGAGACAAATTTGTTATCATGTTGATGATTACAGAACCTTGCAGTACACATACATAGTTATATGCTTTATGATCCACATTTTCTGATCGATTCCCACAACTTTTTTTCACAATGCAATGATCAGAGCTCAACTTAATCTTTAATGGATGAAATAACTACGTATTGGAACAGTTTTTCTTGCCTGTTTTCAAGCATGCAGTGATTGTGAGAGTATGGTTAAGTATTAATAAATGAAATTTATATATACTTTAAAAACTGAATTGATAAATCTGAATAGTCCCAGAGATTGAGCAATAAAGTTCTGATAAGACAAAAATATATCCTTCAAGAACAAATTAACTTTGTTGTCACGAGGATTTCATAAAAAGAGGTTAGACAGATTATTCCAACTTTATTTAATCAATCTTTTTTAAATCGTGTTTTATTATATAAAGACTTCTTTTAAAATCAATATGTAATATTTGTTTTTCTGTTTTCTTTTCTTTTTTGTTTCATTATATGGATTTTTGTGGGCGTGTATGTGTAAGTACTTTAATTAATGTTTGTCATCTGTTCATTTTGTTTTTCCTTCCCTTTTAAGACTCCAGGTGTTCACGGTTGACGGTCTGTTTGTTGATTCCGGTGATATATACCACATTCAATATTCCGGGGGTCGTGTAGGCGTATTCTCGTACGGCCAGAGTGGATGCTTGTGGTCCAACATGCAATATGACTGTCTCGGCAGGTATGTAGGAGTCTAGTCCAGAATCTGGAAGATTTAATTTGAAAGTGACTCGGATTTGCCTCAGATTTGATTTGATTTGATTTGATTTGATTTATTGGTTTCTACATCTTTTTTCTTTTTTTCATCATATATTTTCATGAACATAATATGGCTTGATACAATATTTAAAGTGTTTATATTTTTATACAGATAATAAACGATATTAAACAAATATATTGAATTTAAACAAATATATTGAATGCATAATTAACATACATTAGATGCAGGAGGGCTACAGAAATAAGCAAAATAGCTTGACGTGCCGGCAGCCCTCAACTTAGATACAACAATACAAATACAAATAAAAAAGAGTGACTTGCAGCGAAGAAAAGGAAAGGGGAGAGAAGGAGGAGGAGGAGCGTTGGTAATAATACAATAAATCTCATACATCTGCTGATTGAATGCAGGTTCATTCATGAATGAAAAAACGATGCTAGGTCATGGACGATTACACATCATTGTTGAATATACAGTCAATGTACACACGAACTTGAAGAGTAGAATAACACACGACATGATCAATACTTAGACAACAACATAGTTCTAACTGCCTTCTTAAAGTGCCCCCCCCCCCCAAAAAAAAAAAAATAATAATAATAATAATAATAATAAATAAATAAATAAATAAATAAATAAATAAATAAATCTAAAATCGGTGGAACTTTTTTAGACCCTTTTTTGACCTCGATCGATTACATGTATTTTTGCTAACACCAATTTAACATCACCTTATTAGAATATGAATTAATAAGTTTAGAAGATTATAATTTAAGAAAAATGGACAATTAAACATTCCTGAAGTAGAGAGCCTAAGAGGCTTATAAATGTAGAAACGTTGACGGTTTAAAAAAAGGTAATGGTTTAATAGTTTAACAGATAAGAAGATTATACAAATGTAATGCACCCAAATGAATTAAATTATAATAAATGTTGTATACTGTATACATATATTACGTTATCATTATATAATAAGAAGATCATGAATATAATAGTTCAGAATTCAGAACATATAATAACAAATTTAGTTTAGAAGTTAAGATAAGAAGTTAAGATTAGACGTTTATCAGCTAAGAAGTTTAGACATTTAGAAGATAAGAAGTTTAGAACCTATAAGTTTGGAGGTTTAGCAAATTAGAAGTTTGGAAGATAAAACGATTGGAAGATTAGAAGTTTAGAAGCTTATGAGATACAAGTTTAGAAGCTTATGGAATAAAAGTTTAGAAGAGATTATGAATCTAGAATGAGTGACGGTTTTAAATTTAACCAATTAATAAGTTTCAAAATTTCAAACTTAGGATTAGAAAGTAACAAATTTTGATAAGAAGTTTTTGAACTGTATGCAATAGGAAGCTTAGAACTGTAGACGTTTGGGGGTTAAGAGCTTTGGACGATTAAACAGTTGACAATTTAAAATGGTTTGAAAGGTAAAATGAAATACAAATTTAAAACAATTTACCATCAGGAAGATTAAATGTTTAAAAATTTAGATGATAGAAACTCCAGAAGAATATGAATCGAGAATTCGTTTGCGGTTTTAAAGTTGTATTTTTTAACAATTATAACGTTTTAACGGTTTAACTATGAAATACTTGAATGTTTGATGATTTAAAATTTAAAGAGATAACGGGCTAAATATTACAAGCTTGACATTTAGATTAGAAGTTTATAAGTTATAAACAATAGATATATATATATATATAATAGGCTTGCGGTCGCATCATGTGAGAGAGAGGGTGGATTGAGGAGTCCTGAAAAGGACTCTCGGTAATGTTTCTTGAGGGTTTGTAGTCCTGAAAAGGACTGTTGGTATAGTCTTGAAGAAGACTGTTCGTTATCTTTCTTAGCTTATTAGTTCTAAGGAGAACTATAGCACTTGGAGAGGATGAAGGGCGGGAGTGGCTCGACGTTTCGAACAGGTTGACTATCCGTCGTCAAGAGTGGAGAATAGCTGGCGTGCGTGAGCTTAAGTCAACGGGGTGCGGACGTCGGGGAAAAATACATGACCGTGAATAGATATATAACAGGAAGGTTAGAAGTGTAGACGTTTTGGCGTTAAAAGCTAAAAAAAAAATATATATATATTTGGGAACTTAACAAAATTAAGATTCTAGAAATGTGTATAAGGACAACCTCCCCCTGGACAATCTGCCCACCGGAAAAGAACCCTTGGACAATAATACCTCCACCCCCCCCCCCACCCCCCGTGCCAAGAAATTCAAGGACAACAAACTGCGTATTACCCACTGTTCAAAGAGGAAGTATACCCGATAGAAAGTTGGTTTTGTTTAGGGGGGTAATTGTCCTCAAGGGGGTGTGGGGGGGGGGGGTGATTGTCAAATGGGGGTAGTTTTCCGGGGTCAATGTTCCGGGAGGTCATTTTCCGGGGGGTTATTGTCCTTGGGGAAATTGCCCCGTTAGTGATTTGCCGGGGCTAATTGTCCAGGGGGGAATTGTGTTAGAACCAATTTTAAAAAAAAGAATCAAAGCAACTTTTTGTTTCTTCTCCCGCCACAATGAATGTCAATGAAACTGGTATATTTGCGTTTCTTCACCTTGAACAGGCTCAACCAAGCCCTCGAGCTCGACGGACAGAACTCATATATTCACGTTGGAGATGTTGAATCACTGGAGATCACCGGACACTTCTACATTGAAATGTGGTGTCGCGTAGTTCCAGTATCTAGAGATGAAATTTTTCCGATATTGAGTGCATCCGATGGGTCCATGGCATTGTACATTAAAAACTGGTAAGTGCAGTCAAGATTAGGCCTGTATATCTAGTCGTTTAAGATTCTGATACAAATTATTGTAACATGAGAAGAAATCAAAATATCTTTGACAATTCGCTCTAAATAAATGTCTAGTATAATCCGCGTGCGAAGATTTGTTACGATATTAAGCATATCCGATGTTTCCTTCGCATTCTACATTAACTCATAGCCTGCCATAACGCTGCATGCACGCTATCGCTAAAGTGCTTTGTGCATGCGAGAGAGCTATCGCTTGAGTGCCATGTGCGTGCAATGCTGCACTCGCCATTCATAGAACCATCGCGTTAATCAGATTAGATAGATAGATAGAAAGATAGATAGAAATGGTTTTTATTAAAAAGATCATCGCAGCCAATGGCTGAATTGCGATCCATTTCACAAGGTTATATACAATACAATTGCAATTCAAATTGAAATAACACAACATATGACATATATCAATAATCAAACATATAGACATTTCATAAAAATTCATTAATCAGATTCAAATTTTTGTTAAAAAAAGAGAAAAAGATAGGGAGAGGTGTAGGAGAGGGAGAGTTGGAGTGATGACAAAGAGAGAGAAGGAGAGAAAGAGAGAGAAGGGGGACGAGATAGAAAGACAGAAAGAGATAGAGAAGGAGAGAGAGAGAGAGTTGAAGAGAGGAAGAGACAGACAAAGGGTACCTTATCATTACAGATGAGTGGAGATGGCAAGAAATATTCAGTAATGCAGAAAATTGAGATAAAAACTATCAAAATTCATTCACATAGTTCAATCATGGACTGTGAAATTCTAAAAATACAATTTATATTGGTATTACATTTTATTCAAAAGATTTATAAAGTAAGGAAGAGAGCTGCACTGAAAGCGTTTTGTTTTACATTGGTATTGTTTAAACTTTGATTGAGATCTTAGAGAATAAGTGCTTTGTTGTCTAAGAGGTAAACATTCTTTAAATTGTGGGTGTTTGACAAGTGCATTTGCAAAGTCTATACATAACTGCTCACGTCTTGCTTCTAATGAACATGAAAAACAACCTGGCACGGGGGGATTTGGAACTTGGCACAATGGGAATTAGCCCTGTGGAATGATAAGAGTTAACAACTCATAAGTAATGATTAAACATGTACAGGATGAGTCTGTACTATTTTGGACCAACGTTTAAGAGTTTGGTGCAAAATATTGTGACTTGTTTTTGACTTTGTATACATTATTACTTTGTTCCATTCTTACCTATATGTTGTATTTTATTTGCTTTTAAAATCAAACCTCAAGTATTGGTTGCAATCAGTGAATAATAATAATAACTTGAGAAAAAAAGTCAATATTTCATAGGAAGTTAACTGTACACTTTGACAATGAGCTACATGTGTCTAGTGGGACAATAGGGACTTTTAGATTTGCACGTCGACAGCTTTGACTGCAATGTGTGACATCATTTTAAGGCACTGCGCATGCGTCACGTCGTCTTAGTCGGCGATCGAGAATGCGTCAACTTTGATTTTTCTAAATCTAGTACTGTACTAGTATGCCGCGTGCGCATAAAATATACAGTTCCTCAGGTAGACAAAGGAACATCGATCCCTTCCCTGCTATTATGTACAAATGTGTAGAACAGGTGTCACATGCATATTCACCTGTTCTACACATGTTTACATAATAGCAGTGAAGGGATATTCTGCATGTTTATCGTCGGGTGCAATCTAAGATTTCTAATTGTAGTCAACATGGGCAGTTGAGTACGTTGACACGCATGATCAGTCGGCGTTCGTCGTGTTCTCGTCCACTCAATCTAAAAGTCCCTATTTATCAGAAGATAAAAACATACGGAGAAATCATAATATATTCATATTCATGCATATAATGTACATGTTTAGGCATTTTTTCATGAAGTAGGTCAATTTTAAGATTAACGAGTGAACTGATAATAGTTTCGTAGTAATTTCTTTGGAATTATTGGCAAATGGCAATTGCCACTTTTCTACGTTTGTTCTTAATCTAAATTTATTCAGGCCAAACATTCGTTGGTAAATTTATGTTGTATGTTAACTCTTATCATGCCACATGGCTAATCCTCATTGTGTCAAGCCCCAAATCCTCCCGTGCCAGGTTGTTTTGGAGATAATCTAATTAACGCGATGGATCTATGAATAGCGAGTGCAAAACACACAGCACAATCCAATGAGCATGGACAATAACTGCTATTACGAAGACGGTGTGTATACTGATTATAAACATTCCCACTTAATCCCTGCTAGCGCCATCTCAGGTCAGCTGCAGCAGTACATAGCCCCCGTAATTAACTGCGTCCCTATACGTGTGCTGATGTTAGTTCTCGCATCGATGCTCTGCGTGCGAAGTGGAAATTAGGCATTGGGTCACGTACTGTAATAAGCAAGTTCATAGATACAATCTGCGCATGGGCAGATAAGGGTCCTTTGCACCAAAATGGTAAAACCCACAGAGATGAATACTGGATATGCGCTCATGAAAGTTATGTAACATTATTCTTTTATGCACCAACGGTACATTCTATGATACGCAGGTGGAAGTATTCTTTTCAAGAGGTCAAACAAAAGTATTCATGAAGCACATCTACGACTTTGGCAGTTATTATTCTAAGATGCCCAAAGTGGAACTTCTCCATGTGTAAAAGATTTGTGGATATGTGGGGGTCATTTGTACCATCTGTAAACTCCCTTATTGGCAAAATGGCCATGAGTTGGCGTTGTGCAATATACAATACGTTATTTAGGGTCGACAGTTCATATGTATCGCTTTAACATTTATTTCCATCACCTTTTGTTCATGTATTCACGCAGGACACTCTTTGCTGATTACCTGGACGCATCCATTAGCCTGAGAGGGGTGTGGAATGGTAGTTGGACGCACGTAGCCATCAGGGCTTATATTGGATGTGAGTATGTGAAGGGTTTAGTGGGGGCGGATCAAGGAATTAATTTTAAAAAAGGGGGTGGAGGGGGATTCAGAAGCATACTCAAACAATTCTTTACTTTATCATTCTCTTACTAGCGAGAAGAAAAATTAACACTAAAAAGCGTGGGTCACACATTTTGAGTAAATGATAACGTCAGTCAAAATCTTATTTTGTTTTTTTAAACTCCCTCAATTGAAGGAGCAATCTAAGCATGATGACCATTTAACTGGATATATTCAAATTTAAAGAACAAGATTACAACACACAATGATGAATCCTTCATCTAGATCGACAGCTTACATTACTGGTATTTTAAAGTTTATCAACACTGGTGTGGCTAGGACGGATTAGACCACACAGCGAGGTCACTGACAGGTGGTTATCTCATCAACTCAGCTCTCAAATAATATAAGAAATAGAGGATCATTGGGGACCAACAGGCACCGATTGGGGAAGTTTTCTATAAAGAGGGAGCAAGTAGCTACAAGTAGGACATTGACATTTTAAAGGCCAACTGTAATTAAAGACTATACGAAGAAAATAAGTGATAACATTAAACTCCCGTGTAGGTCTATCTGTTTGACATGGAACATAAGTCGGACTTGGCAACCGTGCGTGCCCTATAACATGCAAGTACATACGTGTACGTGAACTACTTTTAAAGTTTGAATGAATTTACATTTATTTCCATCATCATGACAAATTGACAATATATATACAAAGATAAAAATATGGAATATTACGAGAGAAAAAAATATATCAAAATTACCTATAAATTCAAAGTATATATATATATATATATATATATATATATAGAACAAATGTAAATTGATGCATCCGTAAATGCCAATAATGCTTGACAATTTAATGCACCAGGCGCATAAATAATAATAACATATGTTTTGGAATAAGAGAGAAAAAAGGAGGTTGTTTAATTTTGTTATGAAAGATGTGGTCTTAAGTTCTAATTCTTTTAATTTACTAAGGATCTAAATTGCAATATACTTTCAAAGAAGTAATACTCGTAGCTCAAATTTTAGTTAAGTATATAGCCAAATGGAACCGTTCAAGTCAAAATCGAAACATGTAATGTTAAAGGGAGTGTGTCATGACGAGACTTAGACCCCTGTTACAGTGAGCAAAAGGCCTGGCCTCGCACTGTAAACGCGCAAAAGGCCAAATGCGAGGCCAAAATGGCCGCGCATTTGGCCCTGCTCTGGAGGTAGTCTCGGCCGCGGCCTGGCCCGGCATTTTCTCACTATAACCACAAAGGGCCAGGCCGCGGCCAGGCCCTGTTACCCCGGAAGTGAAAATTGGCCGTGTATAGGAAATTGGGGAAAAGATTGACTGCAAATCGCGCGCGACTGGATCTGCACTGTGACCCCCCGGCGCGCCCCCTAAATATATGTTTGTTTACATGCAGAGCGCCACTCTGACAAGATATTGAAAGGTTCCGGGCCAGGCCGCGGCCTGGCCTAGCACTGTAAACGCACAAAATTGCGGGGCCCGGCCCCGCAATTTTCTCATTGTAAACGGGGTCTATGTGTCTTTCCCGTGGCCCTACCCGGGGCCAATCGGGTATAATACGACTACGGACGACGCGACCGCAGCATTCGCGTGCGTGCAACACATGCGAAACCGAAGCGTGAGGAAAACTTCGATCTGTTTTGCCAACGCTAGCGCGCACTGACCCAGTTTAGCGCGCGCTGACCCAGTTAATCAAGTCCATTCGTTTACGTGCAGTTGTCCAAAAGAAGACGTAGACGGCGTTAACCAGTATTTGCCATGATGCACTCCCTTTAAGGCGAACTTCAGAATGTGCTTTTTTCTCGTCCCCACCTACCGTTATCAAGCACCTCCCCAAAGTTGCTCTCATGACTCGGCCAATGAGGCCTAGTTTGTAAAAACGCGTAAAAACGCGTCATATGACGTACATAAACCTCCTTTGTGAATTCGGCCAATGAGTGTTTGAAATGCAATAGTTCCAGAGCCCAGAGTATGAGCCTATAAAGTCCTACTCTTTCCCATGTTGTATTGTTTTGTTTCTTTTATTTATTCGCATTCTGAATTGCCGTATTTTGCAATGGTTTTCCAGTTTATCCCTTGGAATTGTTTTAAGGGACTTTTAGATTTGCACGAAGACAAAGGTGGATTGCTACGATCGACGTCCTTTTAATGCACTACCTTGAATCGACGTCACACGTTTCAGTCCACGCAAATCTAAAAGTCCCTATTATCAATGTAATCCCCTCCAAAAAAAAGGAATAATAATGATAATAATAATAACAAGATAAATTGTTACTGATCTGATATCAGAGGTAATTTTCTCGTTATTGAATTTTACAGATGATCTGACAATTTTAATCAATGGCAAAGAATCAGCGAAAGCGCCTTTAATAATTCATAACGAATGGGTAAGCAATTAAAATCTCTCTCTCTCTCTCTCCCCCTCTTTCTCTCCCCACCTCTTTCTCTCTCTCTCCCCACATCTCTCTCTCTCTCTCTCTCTCTCTCTCTGTTTCTCTAGCTATCTAGCTAGCTAGCTAAACTCCCATTCTCTTTTTTTTCTCGCTATCCGCAGTTTCGTTCATAATGATATAGGTAAGCATTGTGATATGTGATGTTGATGGTAATCATTGTTTAACCCTAAAAAGGCCGGGCTATTTGAGGTCTTAATACGGCCAGGCCCCCCCCCCCCCATAAGATCTCGGCCGTAAAAATTCGCACGCATGTCAAGTGAAGTGTATAGAATAATATGACAATTTCTATTTTTTTTTGAAAAATTCACTTATTTTCATATTTATGGTAATTTATGCAAATAAGGTCATAAAATCACATTTTTACCTATAAATCATATATTATTCATATTTCAGCATTCATTTTCACCACATATATTCATTAGACCACTTTGAATAAAAATACGACAACAAAATTTGGAAGAACTAGCTTATTCCTTATGTTATCTCTTGTTCTGATAATTTCTTATGTATTTCCTCGTTTTTTTAACTTATGTATTTTATTGTTTTTGTTGTTTTATTCATTTCTTACTACAATTCAACTATTTTGACTCCCAAAACAACCAACTAAACTTTAAACAAGACACAATAACAATTTTTTAGGAAAAATGACATTTCCATATGTTTTGACACAAATCACAAAATCGTGGAGGGGAGAGGGGCATAATGCCCCCTCCCCCCCCCCCCCCCCGCCTTATTAGGGTTAACTGTCATACTTCCATATTGTTATACTGATGATATCTTTGACGCTTGCATATAAAGATATGTCCCTTTATAAAGCGTAGTCAGTGGCGGATCCAGGGGGGGGGGGGCACATGGAGCACGTGCCCCCCCCCCCCGACCCCCAAAATATGTTAAAATTAGCCCTAAATTCGCCCAAAATGTACTGAAAAACAGCGACGTGCCCCCCCCCCCCCCTGGCCCCCCAAAAAAATATTTACAAATTTATAAAAAAAAATTAAAAAAATGCCAATGGCTGACCTAAAAAGGTGACCTTAACCCCCCCCCCCCCCCCCCCTCCCCCCTCTCCGGCAAGAAATTCCTGGATCCGCGCCTGGTCGTAGTAGTAGAAGTAGTAGTAGTAGTAGTAGTAGAAGACGTAGTAGTAGAAGTAGTAGTAGTATTTCAAGACTTCGATTCCAAAAGGAGCTAAATCCTCTTTTGTAACTTTAAAGAAAAAAGGATTCGTTTACCAGATTTTGTACAGGCGTTCATGGAAAAGTGATATTTGCATATTTTCATAATTGCTTCCAAAATGTAGGTATATATTTTTGTTGAAAGACGGGTATTCATGTGAACAATGTTCCGATATCAATAACTTAATTTTCATAAAAAATGGATTTTAATTAGCTCCTTTTGCAATTGAACTCTTCATTTATTCTTCGGTTTCATTAAATACAAATTAATATAAAATGTTATAAATACAAACACAAAATAAGGTATGACACGGCTGGTCTTCGACGGAGGGATTGAAATGGAGTTTTAGATTCGTAATTATTGATCAGTATGAACAGAACACAGAAAGTTGGCCTCCACTGGCATAATAAACAAATTAATATTTAGTACAACAATATAACAGTTACCAAATAGATATCATCAAGATTACAATATGACATTATGACAGTTAAAGGTACTATGTCCCATTTGCAGGCCAAAAACATGAAAAGGTTAAATTCCAATGGCATTTGAAAGATAATACTAATTTAGAACTTCCCTAAAAGAACGGTAGCTTGAAAATATCCTTAAGTGGAAAAATAACGACTATTAGTTGTCGAATCGACTTAAGAGCTATAAAGCCAGTAACTATTAGTCTGATTTTCAGACCATTGTACTGAATGGTCGTACGTTTTATGCTGCGCAAAGATTCAATCAGTTTAATTTTGGCCATTACAAGAACAAATGCTCATGTCTAGACAAATGCTCATGTACCCTTTACAGCTCATTTTATGTATGTTATAACCAAAGAAGAAAAAAGCCAGTCAGTCACTCAATAGTGTATGACAGTGGAGTCTAGCAAGTAAATGGGTTTCCTTGTATAATTTGAATATTAGGACACTGCTAAAGTTTAAATTTCACAGATAGGACATACATGACATATTCATAATTCCTGCAAAGTTCTATAGAATATGATGTTGGCTGCAAAAGGGACATAGTATCTTTAAAGCTTATCTGCCATAGTTTACAGGAGGGATTAGACCGCCCTACAAGGTCACTGGACAGGTGGTTATCTCATCAACTCAGCTCTCAGTTAACATAAGAAAAAGAGGATCATGGGGGACCAATGGTCACCGATTAGGCATTGTTTGTTGTATAGAGGGCGCAAGTAGCTACAAGTAGTGCAGTGGGCCTTTAAATGGTGGATAACATATCACGCCTAATAATTTGTTTCAATCCCCTCTCAGACATTGAACACGCATCTTTACCTAGGGAAGGGAGCTGGAGGAGAACTCTTCAGAGGAATGATTGATGAGGTATTTTCTTTTTTCTTCCTTCTTTTTATGGCACTTGCTCCTCCAACACTTGCTCCACAGAGCCAAATTCTTAACTGGAACCAACATATACCTACCCCTAACCCTAGCAAGCGCAAACCTAAAACCCAATTGCGACCCTAACCGCGACCCCATCTATCAACTGGGGCCCCGTCTTACAAAGAGTTATGATTGGTCCAAATCAATTATCGTAAGTCCTCAATAAATCGTAAGTTTGCAGTCTCCTATCTCTTATGTACAAAGATGCGATTAATATCAATGGCAAATACGTTGCGATTGATTTCAACTCTTTGTAAGACCGGACCCGAGCCCGGGTCTATCAATCAGTCAGTCAATCATCCAATATATCACGTAACATAATAGAGCCGTTAAATAAAGGCATCGTTTATTAAATCTGAGATGCATGGCACTACGTGTTATCAGTTTTTGTGATATGGTGTAATATAGAAGCCCTAACAAAATTGCGCTTCAAAATGATCATGAAGTGCCTCAAAAAAGTAAAAGTCTGTTAGTGACCTGTTTTACCATACTCATTAATAGACTGTATTGTTATGAAAACCGTTAGGAAAACGAAGTTTAAAAATTCGATTTCCAATCATAAATATCTTGATAATCAGACAGACGATCGGCTTGTAAAAGTTTTGGGGTTCCTGAATGACCTAAAGGTTTATAATTACAGCATGAGCTAAATCCAGGATTTTGTTTCAGAGTCTGAGACAAAGTTACCCAATCCCTTTAAAACCGACAATGTAATGACTTTGAGGCACAGTTTTTGTTCATAACTTTCTGTCTTCAGCTGTTAGAAATGGGCTCAATAGCCATGCCTATAGCCCTATACAATAACGAAACGGAGCAGTTTTGACGGTTTATAGCCCATTGGTCTTCACCCAAGGCGCGTAGCCAGGGGGGCGTTGGGGCGGTCGCCCCCCCCCCTCCCAACAAAAACAAAAGAGAGAGAGAAAGAAAGAAGAAAGGAAGAGGACGTAGGAAGAAAGGGGATTAAAAGTCGAGAACGGTACAACGAATCGTCTTCTTTCTCTAATAATTCAATGAAACGTCAAGGCTTCCGCGCTTCGTGCGGGCGGGGTGGGGGAAACTGCATTCAGATAAGGATTAAGAGTCGAAAAACGGTACAACGAATCGTCTTCTTTGTCGAATAATTTAATGAAACGTCAAAGCTTCCGCGCTTCGCACGTGAGAGGGGCAAACTTAATTCAAACAATGATTAAGAGTCGAAAATGGCACAACGAATCGTCTTCTTTCTTTAATAATTTAATGAAACGTCAGAGCTTCCGCGCTACGCGCGGAGGAAGGGGAACTTGATTCAAACAAGGATTTAGAATCGAGAACGGTACAACGAATCGCCTTCTTTCTCTAGTAAGCTTTCGCACTTCGCGCCGGGGGGGGGGGGAACTCCCTCCTCCCTGCACCCACCCCCCCCCCCCCCCCTAGGGAGCGCGCTACGCACGCTTCGCGTGCTCACTACTGCCCCCCCCCCCCCTAAAATAAAATCCTGGCTACGCGCTTGCTTCACCCAGTTCGTCTACAGCCCAATTGGTATATTCTCATATGGTCTACACCTAGCCCATGCATCATCTACACTGTCTAACAATCATTTCATGTACTTATCATGCATTTGGCCTTTTTACCATTTAGGCTAATATCCATTTGGTCTAATTTACATTTGGTCTAATCTCCAATAAGTCTACTACCCATTCGGTATAATGCTCATTGACCTCACTCCCAGTTTGTCTAATAGTGCTCCCAGATTTGTCTACTACCCATATGGTCTCATAATCATAAATACTAATAATCATCAAATGATTATTACACCGAATGAGCATTATAAAACTAGAAATAGACCAAGGATGGTTCTTGAATAATCAGTTATTTCATGGGGATACCAATTAATTTTTATTTTACCTGTTTATGCTTGTGTATTTATCTATTTTGTTTTGATGCTGTTATGTGTTTTTTATTACCAAACAGGGCCTCATGGAAAACCACTAAACTGGTGATATGTGCCACCCTGTATAAATATCAGAAATAAATAAATAAATAAATAAATAAAAAATATAAAAAATGAAAATACCAAATGATAAGTAGACGAAATTGTCATTAGACCATATGGGTGGTAAACGGGCTGGAGTGTAGATCTTATGGTAATATACTAGTTGTACACGAAATGGTCACCTTTCATTCACCTGTATTCTGTCTAGATTGATACTGTTTTAAAGGGAATTATATGTAATGGAAAAAGAAAACAGCCTTTGTACAGTATTTGTATATTTATACATTAAGTGATTAACCTATTTGGTTAGGCATTGTAAACGTTAATACATGCATGTGACTTTTGCAAGTCCAGTGAAATTAGTGCGCCTATTTGGATGTGAGCCATTAAAGGGGCATGTTCCCCGTATTCCAGAGGGCGTTCAAAATACGGCCAACGGTGCTATAGCTGCCTATTGACACCAACAGAATACGGCTCTATTACGCAGATGGCATATGTTCCGATAACTACACTGGCGGGAACGTGCCCCTTAAAAAAAAAAAAAAAAAAAAAAAAAAAAAAAAAAAAAAATTGATGAATAGACAAGTATCATTATGTGCAAAAGAAACTATTCAAGAAGTAACATGTCAAAATTGCATGTGTGATTAGGTGAATTTAAAAAATGTAGTCCCATCTATTCAACATGTGGTTAAAGCATGATGTCAGTTTTGTAAAGAATAAACAAATAATAGTGTGTTAGTTGGCTTTCTCGTCTACTGTATGCTTGGTTTGATAACTAAATACCATGGTCATAATTCGCGGTCCTCCCTTTTGAATATACCAAGTAAAGACTGACAGAGCTTAAACGCTTCGACCATTCGTTATGTAAAAAAATATGTGTAGTCCCATATATCCATTTCTGTGTGCAAGGTGTGTTATAGTCCCATATATCTATTTCTGTGTGCAAAGTGTGTGATTTTGTGCCAGATTGAGTCAGTTTCATCTCATTTTATGATCATACTCAAGCCTCACAATATAGTTCAATTAACATTGAAACAATACTGAACCTTTCCCCAATAGTTCCTGGAATGTTCTTTGAAAGATAAAGGTGATTTCTGGCAATGCGCGATTGCATTGTGAAAGAAAAGGTGTGGAATGGATCAGAAAAGGTTGATCATGTAGCATGTAATTTGGTGTGCACTGCAAGGTTCTGGCACAGTCTTGGTAAAGTAACAAGCACTGTACACAGAAAGATGTACATGGGACTATACACAAATGGTGTCGGGGCTAGTACACTACCTGATTTTCTTATCTTGTTATGCTCATTACTCAGCCAGTATACATTTTCTTCCAAAATTGTTTGGCACATGACATTTATTTGTCATCTTGAACATTCAGTGTAAGTTTCGTTTGATTCTGTGAGATTTTTTAATATTTTTTTTTACCAGAACTCAAGTTTATCTTTAATCACTTAACAAACAAGAGATATTGAGAAAAAAAAAACTAACATGCTTTTGGTTCTGTGCCACTCTTTTTTTCTTTTCGTCAAAACTTTTTTTCCGCAGCTTAAGATATATCGCTACCCATTTGCTGATGCTACCAACTTGGAAACACTTTTTACGGAGTACAACTTTTACAGCAAAAGTGGATACATTGTTCTCTACTACTCAATGGACGAGGAGCTAAACGGTAAATGTTCGTGTCAAGTCTTCTTCTATAAGGGAGTTTACAGATACAATCTGCGCATGGGCAGATAAAGGTCATTTGTACCAAAATGGTAAAACCCACAGAGATGAATACTGGATATGCGCTCATGAAAGTTATGTAACATTATCCATTTATGCATGCACTAACGGTACATTCTATGATACGCAGGTGGAAGTATTCTTTTCAAGAGGTCAAACAAAAGGTATTAATGAAGCACATCTAGGACTTTGGCAGTTATCATTCTAATTTGCTCAAAGTGGAACTTCTCCATGTGTAAAAGATCTGCGGATATTTAGGGTCATTTGTACCATGTGCTATCTGTAAACTCCCTTATTGTAATTTTATTTGACATGAAATGTAGCGTGGCAAAGGCCGTAGCCGAAAATTAGGACTTTCTCTCATTGCTTTTGTTATCATTTTCACTTTAGGTCCTCAATGTTTTTTTCTTCAACCGACGCGGCATTCTTTTCATTATCGTTATTGCACATGTACTATTATCATTATCATTATATAGACTAGTACTATCATTGAAGATATTAAGAAAATAGCATATACATTAGTGATATACAACTTTGTTGACAACTATATCGTTGAAATAGATACAGTGCGAAAGGAATTGCATGGAAATGGTTGCATCGCTTTAAATGAAAGTTTTCCTTCGTTGTCCTCTGTTTTGAAAAGTTTTGCAGAGGTCGAAAAATAGAAAATGTCCGCCTTGCCTCCTGGTATAGAATGCTTTATATGCCCAAAACACTAGGCCCGGCATATAGGGCCTAGTGGTTTTGTGCGAATCTAGATTAATATTGATCGGGTTTGTTATTATATATGTATAAAATACAATTGTTTTGTGTACACAATAAAATTGTGTACCAACAAATATATAATGTATGATGGCTGATATGTATACATAAAATACATCTCAATTTTTTCGAATACAGTCTTATATTTTCGTACATAATATTGCATTATAACAAATTTGTAAGGGGGGGTGGGGAGGAAATTGATGGTGCTACCTATTCAAACGGTAATTGGGCGTCATGTTTGAATCCTCACATATTTCTAAACTAATCACTCAATTTTCTTATTTAACATTTTATATTTCGTTCCTCCATACTCTATTTCATTGTCGATCCAAACAGGAGCATTAACGCTAAAGGATCAGGGTCCTTATGGTTTGAATGGTCAGGTCATCGGAAGTGTGACCTTTGCTCCCAGCGTAGTGGATGGACGACGGTTCAAACACTCCTACCCTAGAAACAAAAAACGGCGACGTAAACGAAGCATTGATGACCATGTCAATGAAGACATGCATGATGAATTGTGATTGGCTGAAGGTTATGGTGATGATGCTGATAATAACAATAATATAATGATAATGCATATACTAATAATAATCATCATCTTAATGACAACAATAGTAATAATAACGATGAAAATAACATATGAAAGGGCAGAAAATGAATTTTCAAAAAATATTTTCTCTTTGAAATTCAGATACCGTCCGCCAAATGACTTCATGATACCCTTTCTTTAAATTGTTTTTAATCACCTATGCTTGAAATATGCTCATATGAGTTGCATTAAATGAAAGAGGAAGATCTAAGCTTTACAAATATGTGTCATTAATTATTAATTATTACGGTAATTAAAGGTACCATGGGTTAGGCCGTTAAAGGGATCGTTTAACAATGTTAAATCTGAGACGCACGGCCCTACGTGTTATTAGTGTCTGTGATATGGTGTAATATTGAAGCCCTAACAAAATTGCGCTTCAAAATGATCAAGAAGTGCCTCACAAAAGTAAATATCTTTGAGTGACCGGCTTTACCATACTTGTGTTCCCCAATAGACTGTAGTGTTATGAAAACCGTTTGGCAAACGGTTTTCAAAATTTGTAATTCCAATCATAATTATCTTGATAATCAGACAGGCGATCGGCTTGTAAAAGTCAGGGGGTTCCTGACTGACCTTAAGGTTTATAATTATGATTGCAGCATGAGCTAAATCCAGGATTTTGTTTCATAATCTGAGACAAAGTTACCGGATCCCTTATAGACAGCGAATTGAGCATGCGCGTGATTTAACTGTTGTAACATATATATCATTGTATCACCTTTGGCTCGTGTATTGCCATTTTGGAGTATAATACATTTTCTTGTTTATTCTGCACATTTTTTAAAGAATGTTTTGCCGTTACCGGGAACGTTCGTTTTGATTGGCATAGCGTTTGAATCTTTATATGATTATATACATGCAGGCGCGTACACAGGGGGGGGGGGGGGGGGGGGGGTTAAACCCCCCCCCCCTTTTGGTATTTTTTTGTGTGTAAACCCCCCCCCCCCCCCCCCCCTTTTTGGATTTTTTTTGTTTGTTTTGTTTTGTTTATTAAAAAAAAAAAAAAAAAAAAATATATATATATATTCCCATGGTTGACCTAAAAAAGCTGACCTTACCCCCCCCCCCCCCCCAACGGAGCAAAATGTCAAATTTTCAAATTTCGAGACAACAAAAAAAAAAAAAAAATGTGTCCTCTTGTATAAGGCCAAATAAAAATAAAAAACATGTTTAGCGTCCTGCTTTTTTGAAAAATAGGAAGGAGGAGGCCCTTTTTTTCTTTTTCTTTTTCTTTCAAATTGGACGCTCAAAACGGCCGTTCGGTACATTTTCCCTGACAGTCGGGCTATTTTTCAAGATGGCTGCCGACTTTTTTTCTTTCTTTTTCTTGGAATCAGAAATAGATCCATTTTGGCAGTTTTTTTCCTGTCTTTGTTCTTTAAAAAAAAAAAATCCAAAAAAATTCAACACAAAAAATAATAGGAGGCGGCCCCCAAAAAGGAAGCGGGTGGGGACGCTAAACATTTATATTTGTTTAAATGGCCTAATATAACATGGTATTAATTTGAAATTGTATTAAATTGTTAAGAGTGTGTGTGCGTGTGTGTTTATCTCTCTATCTCTCTCTCTCTCTGCCTGTCTGTCTCTCTATCCCCCTCTCTCTGTATGTGTGTGTCTCACTCTCTCTCTCCCTCTCTCTTTGCATGTATGTCTGTCTCTCCATCTCTATCTCTTCTCTCTCTCTGTTTCTCTCTGCATGTCTGCCTCTTTCTTTAGATTGTTCACAAATCATATCACGTAAATGTATGTAGTTAGAACATGTATAGTATAAATAACCATTATAAATAAGCGAGTTTTCAAAACTGTGTGCATATGGGTAAATTGTTAATTTTGATGTGACCATGATAATCAAATTTGTTTGCCATTATGTGTTTCGTTGTGTGCTTTAAAATTGGATTTATTTGAAATATAAAATCTGATACAAAAATAATACTTGTTTGTGTTTGGAACATTCAGTGGAAGTTTTGTTGGATTCTGTGAGAATATATTTTTCTATCATTACCAAAACTCAAGTTTATTTTCAATTGTCACCCTTAGATCTCTTGGTTCTCTGCTTACTACTCCCATACACATTTATTGATCATAATGCCTGTCTGAATGCTCTTTCAAAAAATTACAAACTACAAGAAGAAATTCATATTTAACTTTTACTTTTATTGTACAATTCTTTTGCATTTGGCAGGGTGTTAAGTCAAACCTGTCTATAAAGGCCACCCAGGGGGGAACACAAAAAACTGGCCACTGTAAACAGGTGGCATTTCTAGAGAGGTGGCCACCAAGACAGGTTTGACTGTAAAAAAAAATACACAGATGCATCCCATGCCCTTCTTACATGTACATAATGATTACATATTTTCACACTGCACATAACTCTACAATTATTTGTAATGTTTAAAAAGTACAGGTAAATTAAATGTAATTGATATGAAACAAAATGGAATCCAATTGATTATATTCATATTTTGAGAGTACTAGAGTTCACAAGTGTATTATACATTTTGATCCATGGTTACCATATTATATGCCAACACGTAAAGATCTTCATGAAACAACGAAAGTCAGTATTAAATTACTAGTAGCCTATAATACAAGCAGTGTTTTAACTTTGTTATACACATAGAAAATTAGCCAAATTTTAAACGCATTTTGCACAAAAGTGTGTAGTTACTTTACGATGTACAGCAATTCTATAGTCTTACAGTAAGTTAAATAAACTTGCATCAAATTGATTTGGATATGAGCCCATGACTGTAGAGATGAATAATATATATTTCTGGCAAGGCTATGTCCTTTTTTATGATTACTGGTATATCTTTGACAGTCAATGACAAAAGGAAGAGAAATAAATACATGCATGTATAATCATAGTGAGACAGATGGCAGAATGCGGTACTTAAAGGGAACCAAAACCTTCATACTAAGTTACTTTTATTGTAAAGTTTAAGATATTTGAAAAATATCAGTGAAAATTTGAACAATATCGGGCAAGGAATAAGGAAGTTAGAGCTTTTTTGAATGACTAGTCAGTAGAGGGCGGAATTCAATTTGATGACATCATCTGTAGACAATTCTCCATGCATTTTGTACATCAAATTTCACGTTTTCCTTCTTTCTTGTGATTGAGATAATCTACTCCCCTGAAAGCAAGATATAGAATGCAAAAATGATATTCTACTTCACATGTTATGAAGTCGGATCAAGAACACAAATAAATACAAAGAAAACGAAAAAATTGTGAAATTTTATGTACAAAAGGCATGGAGAGTTGCCCACAGATGATGTCATCAAATTAAATACCGCCCTCTAGTGACTAGTCATTTCAAAAAGCTCTAACTTGCTTATTCCTTGCCCGATTTTGTTCAAATTTTCACTGATATTATTCAAATACCTTAAACTTTACAATGGAAGTAACTTAGTTTGAAGGTTTTGGTACCCTTTAATGGGTGCAGTACATTTTATTTCTTGTAGAATGGGTTTCCTTACTGACTTAGGGAGGTCATGAGAACGGAGGGTTTTGCGAGGGCCTTGAAATTGTATTTGTTTCAAAGGACTTCATGAGGCTGTTCTGCTTGTGGTTTTCCCTAGGTTTGTTAGAAGCTTGTTCCGCATGGTCAATACCTTCCTCACAAAATTGGCTTTTTTCACAGAAATGTAATTATAAATTTTATTATGTTATTATTATCTGGTTGAATTGCTCTTATATATCCATGTATTCTATGTTCTCCTACAATGTACCGGTATGTTAGTTTTTGTTGCATCACGTGAGCCCTCTATTCCTCCGAAACTATTAAGCGTTTCTATACATTAATTTAGTACATTGAGTTATTTATTATGTATTTTTACTTAATCTGAAACAAAATTATTTGGCATGAACACAATAACTACTGTTAAAGATCAACTGATTATTGCCATTGGACTTTCTTGGAAATGTTTGGAAACATGTTCAGTATTTACACTCATACCCTAAACATAACTAACCCTAACCCTCTCCATAAACCCAAAGACAAACATGAACCTAAACCAAACCATGAAAACCTATCCCAAAACTCCTATGCAAATACTTCTCTTTAAACACAACATACCTTTATTCGCCAAGTTCCCTCCATAAAAAACTGTGTGCCATTAGAGTTCTTGGAAACGGTTTGGAGCATCTTCAGTATTTGTATGCAGCTTGCCTAAAAATGATCATGGGATCATCATCAAACAACCCCAATTTCATCAAAGAAATTGATAATTGAATTTTAAAAAGTTCTAATCCTGGCTGATGATTTACACTTCAAAATGATTGGAGCTTCATGTCTTGAATGTCATAAAACACTTGAGATAAAGATTAAAAAGCATGTCGTCTGAAGAAAAAGTTTCTGGTGACTATTTATTACTAAACACGTTCTGGCAGGACATTTAATATTTGGGGTTTTAGACTAAGTTTGAGGTTTTGACGTTGAGACTTCTGAAGGGTGTTAGTTACATTTTCAAGACATATACCAAGTTGAATGCAACGCTAAAATAGCCGGAACATAATATGTCCCACCACATCACTCCCTTTGATACATACATGTAGTGCTGTACGGGGCATACCTCATCTTTTTTGGCCTGGAATGCGAGCACTCGCTATGTCGGCGAACGATGACCTTAAACTATTTGTTGTTTTTTCCGGTTGGTCCATCAATGTCTTGCGTCAAATTGTGAACAAATATTAGTAGTCTTTTGAAAGAACAATTGCTCCTTTGTTTCCTCATGTCCAAAATAAGCTGCTTATTGCCATGGCAACACAGCAGGCTGCAACGTACGGACTTTTCCTCTCGCCGATCCTTGCAAATTTCCAGAAGATACCCAGTAACCTAGGAGGTCAGACAGAAAATGAAATAAAATGTGTCAAAGAGGAGTCGTTGACTAACTACATGTACATGTACAATGTACATGTAACTTTTACTTATCAACATCAGTAAATCCAATACGTATCAAGCTTGTGATCTACAAGATACATGTACAACTTCAGCCACCACACCCCTTCAAAATTTAATGAAGATGTCAGCAAGATAACAAATGTGTGTAACACAACAAAATTAATACAAACAAAATCAAAAGGAGTAACGTAAATTTACCGTTCTAATCAATCCAGTTGAAAATGTTCGTTTACTACATATATAAATATAACAATATAAATCCAGATTTATTAAACAAAAGAATACAAGGCAATGAAACATTGTTTCCTTTAGTTCAAAATTCAAGCCTAATCGAACCCGGAACCTCCCAGTTAGAAGTCCATTCTCTCCGGAAATTTCCCTTCCCAATTTTTTTTTAGAGTATATAGTTTTCATTCATTGCCCTAACAACTTTTTTAAATTTTTTTATTTCATGATAAGTTTCATGAAATCATGCTTCCCGGTAATTACTGGATGCATGGTTATTGCAAAATCATGCGTCCGGTAGTTACCGGAAAGCATGATTTTGCCATGCACCCAGTAAATCTGTAAAAAAACAGATTTTTTTATTTTTGACAATATTTGTTGCCCCATTTTATAAAACAGATGATGCACAGATTTAATTTGTGGTTCGGTGGAATTGTGTGTGCGCGTTACCTTCAAATTTGGTCTAAAATCCACTCGGTTGTGCCTCGCGGGTTCAAACCCTTCAAAGGTACCTTGTCCACACAATTCCTACCAACACACTCAAACCTGTGCATCATTTGTGTTCTGTCATAGCGAGAGCAATAAATTCTTGTATCACAAGAAAACAAAGCCATACAATATCATTATTATTATCTACATGTATATCAGGCTGACTAGCAAAGTAACACAATTTGAATTACCTCAGAAATATAGCTTTGCTTTTGTGAGATATTGATATCAATACGGTAGTTAAAGTTCCTGGATGAGTGAGCAATACAAAAACAATATTGATCAGTCATCCGGGTACTAGGCTAAAGATATTAAATACACTGATTTATTGTACCACTTTGAAGCCTTTTATAAATAATAATGTGGAAATACTGTACTGTACACCAACAACAATATTTGTTTCACTACTGTGTCAGACCTACCCTTCTTTGTTCTTATCCAGCAGTCTGGGAGCCAGAGCTCTGATGTATGCACAGGTACAGATGAGGAGAAGTACCACGGTCAATAAACTTTGAAAGTTGAAGAGGGCAGACTGCAGAAAAGTGGTCAAAAAGGATAAATACATTGGTAACCCATTTAGTATGAAACATGAAATAAAAGTGTACAAAATGTACAATGAAATGAGCTGGAGGGATAACAAAGTTATAAATACATCTAGGTTATCCCCTTAAAGCCTGTCTATAATAGCTTGGCCAGGGGGATTAGACCTCCCTGCAAGGTGATTGACAGGTGGTTATCTCATCAAATCAGCTCTCAATTAACATACAATGTGAGAAAAGGGGGATCATGGGGGACCAACAGGCACCAATGAGGCGTATTTGGCTATATAGAGGGTGCAAGTAGCTATAAGTAGTGCAGTGGGGCTTTAAACAATACCAAACCAAATATCGGTAGGTACACAAATTAAACGAATTACAAAATTGAAATTGGGTTACAAACGACACAACTCTTACTTACTAATTCTTAGACACATACAATCCTACCCATAGATTTTGCATTTTAATTGGTCATAAATGCACCACCATGCTTTCTACACAGAAGCAAAAGGTCCACATATTTATTACAGGACATGGATCGAAATGTTGGTAACACTTTTTTTTTCTTCAAGTGTTTGTCTCAATGTTAAAGCGATCCATGTAGATCTACTGCATTGTGAAGCAAATTGCGAAGAAACTGCTAGGAAAAAGTACTATGCCAAATACTCTGTGGAATGGATTTGAATCTTATAGTTATTGAATAGCAGATTTTTATTGAAGTTATACTGAATTGATGAACTTGAAAAATTAAATTAAAACGATTAGGCAGGATTGAATGACTTGAAATCTAAGCAATTGTAACTTTAGAGCCCTCGTCTTGTAAAGATTACGATTAATCCAAATTAATCGTAATATACTGTAAGTCCTCCAATCAATCGCAAGTTTGCAGTCTCCTAATCTTTTATATACATAGTTGCGATTGATATCAATCGCAAATAAGTTGGGGATGATATTAATTCTTTATAAGACGTGGCCCAGATTAATCAAGTATAAACTTACCATTGTCACAAAGAAGAATCTGCCTTGTGGGAATGTCAAGGCTCAGAACACAGGTACGGTATGATTGAAAGACCCCTTACAGTGCACTTCTTCCTGTTGAGACTGTTTCAGAAAGAGAAAATATATATATTTGTTAAATACATGTAGTTAAAATATCTCTCTAATCAGTTAAATCTGTGTTTCATCTAATAGGCCTCTATAGGAGTAATGGTTTTACATTCAACTTTTCATGTACACTGTATATGGTTGAGCAGCCCTTCTCTTCATCTTCTTTCTCCTCCTCCTTCTCCTCAGGCTCCTTTTTCCTTTTCTTGTATTTTAATTCTTGATCTGCTCTTACTTCTATTATTCTTTTGCCTTCTTTCTTCTCCTTCAAGAAATGACTTTAACAAGTTGTATAATTTGTTTCTTCAACCTTTTCCCTTATCTTCATCTTCTTTTTTCTCATTATTCTTTTTCTCCTTCATGCATTGATTGGGGAAGCCATCAACCATGTCGAAAGAGGGCATCACTCTTACAGTTTTAGACAGACTCGGCCAAAGGGCGTCAAATTGTAATAGAACAATTATTAAAAGTAAACTTTAAAAATCATGATTTTCTTACTTGTAATCATATTTCATTCAAAATTAAATTGGTTTCTTTATCTATTGTCCTGCTTCTATTGAAATAATTTCATGTAAGAGAGACTTTCCCTTTTAATCGCTACAAAAAGTACAATACAAAAATCTATTTCTAGTACACAATGATTGAGCTAACTCCAGGAAGCTCCAACGCCGACGACAAAGGCGTCGAAACTTCCGTGCGACATCTGAACCGAAATTCATGCTATATAGCGCTGTTCGCTCGAAAATGCTGAATATGCATGACTCAAAGGTCCCTTCACAACCTCGTGCATATTCAGCATTTCCGCTCTGTAGCATTGAATAGATCTAGACTAGACCCTATTCATATTTGCTGCGCCGTTACCGCGCATGCATACTTTCTATTCACCATGTTCACGATACAACATGGATGGCTTGGTTTAGGACGAGGGATCACCCCATTTCCTAGTTAGAGAGGAGCCGACCCTACCCAAATCAGAGGCTAACGAACGAAAGAGGAAGAAATTTTCGGTCTTAGGCCTAGGCCTAGATCTACCCTTTTCCCATTTAACACTTCTTCAAATTATAATTTCAAGTGTAGGTCTACGTGTGGTGTGACATTCCCAGAGGAGTCGAAAACACTGTAGAGTAAGTCAGAATTTGTAATTACTACCGACACACTTCGGGAAAAATGTCGCCACAAGTGCTGTTTGATTTTTGTTTGAGATGTCACACTAAAGCTCCGACGCCTTTGGCGTCGGCGTCGGAGCTTCCTGGAGTTATGATTGAGCCTACATCAAAGAGGAAGGGTGGGACTGTAGTCGAATTTTCGTATTTGATCAGGCAGTCCATCTAAATACATGGCTCAAAATATGAATTTATACCTCGAAACATATAATAAAAATCAGGGGTACTTACATTGTCAATCAACCGCTGTTAAATACTAAGAATAAGAAGATACGAAGATCATTTTTGATCTGTCAGCTCAAAATTTTGCTCATCCACGTAAACACAGATTTATGTACAACCTATGAACAACAGATGGCGGTATTTCGTAAGAGGACACAGTTTTATATATTTTGTTTCCCCCCCCCCCCCAAAAAAAAACATTAGACAATTTGGCCGATCTATATATCGTTTCGTTGAGGGGGGGGGGGGGGGGTAAGGTCAGCTTTATTGGTCCACCCATTATCACAACAAAATTTATTCAATTTTTAAATGTTTTTTTATTTAACAACAAAATAAAGGGGGGGGGGTTCCTCCAAAACACACACATAAAAAAGTTTAAGGGGGGGTAACCCCCCCCCCCCTGCGTACGCGCCTGCCTCCTGATAAGTGCTCTTTTCACCGGTGATGAGTGCCCCTTTTCACTTCTAATAACTACCCCTTTTTCATCTGCCCCGTTTTTTAACATGTGCCTTGTTTACTTTTTAATAAGAGCCACTGCCCCTTCTAAAAAAAATATCCTTTTTACCTCCTATAAATGCCCGTATTAAAATCTGTGCCCCTTTTCTTTCAACAAATTTTGAAGAGTTTCATTCCAAAAGGAGCTAACTCCACTTTGGGTACTTCTGAGTAAATCGGCTTTTTTTTAATTTCTCCACTTTCCCTTTAGCCATGTACCTTCATGTTGTTATAATTATGTTAAATGTGTCACCCTGGACCAATAATATATGATAAGAAAAAATCTACCAGTTTTTTTTTTATTTTTACTGAATTATTATTATTGTTTTCTTCTTCGTGGATTTAGCTCCTTTTGGAATGAAACATGATATTGTACCTGAAAAATGTCATGTTTTCTCGATAAAGTCACTGAAATTATTCAAATTTAGTAGCAAACCTTTATTGTTAAATAATAATAGTGAAATCACAACTCAAAAAACCTTTTGAAAAGAAAGTAAACAGCATATCACAGTTTCATTCCAAAAGGAGCTAAATCCATGTTTCATTCCAAAAGGAGCTATAAATCCACAAAATCTAAAAATGTTGTAAACATTAGAAATAACTTGTGGATTTTTTGTCTTATCATTATTTTGGCGGTCCAGGGCGACACCTTTAACATATATAACAACATCAAGGTACATGGCTAAAGGGAAAGTGGAGAAATAAAAAAGGTAATTTACTCAGAAGTACCCAAAGTGGATTTAGCTCCTTTTGGAATGAAACATGATATTGTATCTAAAAATGTGATTGAATGTGATATAGTGCATTTGTCTCCATGTAGGAAATCATTATTTTAAGACAAAAAACTAAATTTTGATAAAATATGGATTTAGCTCCTTTTGGAATCAAGCTCTTCAAATACACCTTTATACAGTGCGTCCCAGAAAAAACGAAACCGAGAAGTATCGATGTTTTATCATAACTTAATCACATTTATAATTAATAAATGACACATGTTTGGAAAGTTTAGACCCTCCTCTTTTATTTGATGCCATTGATTATGATGCATATTCCACACATGAGTGATTAAAATGAATTTGAAGAGAGGGAACCAAAAAATCATTTGGTGGACGGTATCTGAATTTCAAAGAGAAAATCACATTTCTAGAAAGTTGAGTTTCTGCTCTTTCATCCCCCCCCCCCCCCCACTCCGGGGTCGGAATGACCGCATGCGTGTTACCAAAATGTCCGGTAAAGGGGTATTTTTCGTGCGACAAAGTCCGGCCCGAGAATTGTAACAAAAGGGGGTGTAGTTGACTTTCACCCGGAGATATCTTTAAAAAGGGGGTGTTTTTTCTTTTTTCTTTTTTTTCTCTCATCTCTTTGGACTCCTGAGAAATGATTCCGAATTTCGTGGGGTAAATTTAGCATTTTTCCGAATTTAGGGGGGTCTCCGAGGCAGGAAACGCCCGCGAAAACGCCCGCAAAAGGGGGGTTCGGAATTGTTGGCAGTCCTCAGGGGGTGCTTTAAAAAGGAGGGAACGAGCATATGCGTACCCTAAATAACACTGAATTGGGGGGGGGGGGGGGGGGGAGGGGGGGGGGGGTCTTTCATATGACACCTTATTTAGGGAAAATGAGATAGGAATAACAAAGTTCTGTTTGTTTAAAGTAGTGCTTGCATTTCCTTTTTTTTATTAAACGAATTGGTTTTCACTGGCTGTCTGCCGTAGCAACAAACGGAATTTATTAATTATAAATGTGAATAATTTATGATAAAACTTCGATAATTCTCGGTTTCGTTTTTTCTTGGAGGCACTGTATATACTTTTATCATCAGCGCCACTTTTCATATCTGGTTAGTGCCCCTTTTCAGGTGCGGTACTTTCCCATTTTCCTTTCTAAAAAGGTACCTATCACCTTTTCATAAATGCCCTTTTTCATCCCTGGTGATCGAGTGTCTCTTTGTAGGTGTAAGAAGTGCCCTATGTTCCCCAATGATAATTACCATTTGTACTTTAACATGTGCTCTTTTTCTTTTTATGATAGTAAGTGTCTGATATCCCTTTCGATAAGTGTCCCTTTTTCCTCTCGACATTAAACGTGCCCCTAATTTAAAGTGACTAAGAGCAACTTCCCCTATAGCTCTCTCAGTACACTCGCTCGCCCTAAAAGATGACAATTATAATTATGTTACTTTAATATCAAAGGTGGTTATACTCATCCGTTATGGCTTATAGCCCTATCAGGATTGGGTTTTTCCTCTTTATAAGATGCATTTTTTTTTTTGGCACTGCGATCTCAAAAATCTTGATTTTTTTTCCTCGATCACTTCGCTCGCTCGCAAATCAATCTTCAGACCATCACACCCAAAGTATGATGCTTGAGCAAAATCTTGTATGATCTTTAAAAGAGAAACAAATATTGAATTCATCCCAGGGCCTGTTAAGTGTTATATCTAAACAATTGCATATAGTTTTCGCTTCGACATTTCCTTTTACAGGTGCTCTTTTTTTCTCTCCAGTAAGTGCCCTTTTTTGTTGGTCCCCCCCCCCCTCCGAGTTTGGAAGTCGCTCCGCCGCCCCTGCGGATAAGCTATGTGTAAACAAAATATGAGCTCGATATTATTTTGTTTACGTCTGACAGTACGACCCGAGACTACACTCAGACTTTTCATACGCCCAGTATTTATCTTGCTGACGTCATTTCAAGGGCAGCTGAGGTCTTCATAGCCAATTTGCAGTTGCAATATGAGAACTACCGATCGAAAAATGAACGTATTTTATTTCAGATTTAATAACAAAAAATATTTTTTTAACTGACAATATAATACTCTAATTATATTAATTATATTTTTAATTGTATTTAGACAACAAACAATTAAATTAGATCAAAAAGTCATCCTCATACTGTACCCTTTTATCCGATCCCATAATTTTTCAGAGGATATTAAATTGGCAATATACATTAAGCTCTGTATTGGAGATCAATTGCTACGTCCATGTAAGTATTTTTCTCTTTAAATGCCTCGTTCGCTTTACATATGCCATTAGCATCAATATTATTGCTAAAATTGTATTCTTTAAATCTGTATGCATCAATCTGAGGTAGTTTTTAAAGCAAAAATGTCTTGATAATGTGTTAAAATGCTGACTATTTTGTCCTATTCCGTGTGTTTGATAAACCCGACGGCCGACTGGCTCTATCCTGTACGTTATTGTTTATCTGCGTGAATGGCATGACCTATGAGTTTGTAATTCGTGTGGAGTGAATACGATTGCTGGAGCTGGAGTGGGCCGATGTGTTTTGTGTGTGCGCGGCTGGCCCACTGCACTCTTTGAAGTGAGTTGAGGTTTTGATTTGCTATATTGAATGAGATTGTATTTGCGAGGGTTTGGTTTGGTCTAAATAAAAGATAAATGACGTGAAATTCTACCATCGATGTTTATGAATAGTCTAATGGAATGGGCGGCGAGTTCGCTCAGTCGGTAAAGCATCTGCCTGTCGAACCAAAGATCCCGGGTTCGATTCAGTGTCCCACCCAGGCGGATGACTGAAGCATGCGTCGTGTGTTAACATGCCCCTTCCCTTTTTCATAGACGCAGGGTATGTGAAGTGGAAAACACTCCGTCCCTCGGATAGGACGTTAAATGGAGGCCCTGTGTAGAGAAGAGTCACTACCTTTGCACGTTAAGAACCCACTGCACTATTCATATAAGAGTAGGGTGAAACCCCGGTGTAGTGGTCCACCTGCACACACCCCCAGTATAGTACGATAATACTCTGTAAAGAGGTCTTTACTCAAAAGGAAGAAGAAGAAGTTCAATTCTCGACTCAAGTTCTTATTCTGAATAGGAATTCAATGGTTGACATGACATTGGTCATGGTGACTTTTACGTTTGGGGATTTATGTATCTGAATTTGATGAAATAATCAGTAGGGGCGCTGGAAAGAAAATGAGGATCGTCTGCATAAACAAGGATATCCTTATAAATTAGGCCTGAGTCATGTCGGGATTTTCATAAACCGGGTCCCGACGGCCTTGCACCGGTCCGGACCCGGTGTCCCGAAATCAGCTCGCAGGATTTGTCACTTGCCTCTATAAAAAGCGCATATCATCAGTATGTCCCTTAGAAGTGACATTTTTATCAGTCAAATAAATCAACACATGCATACCTCGGCACAGATTGGTATATTCTTCCATTTGACATTATATTCATCCATGATTGGCGATGTTTAGTGCCATTATCGTGCCTCTAAAAGTAAAAAAAACTCGAGCAAAAATATAAAGACTACAATCGAGCCGCCATTTTGATTTATGCAGGTTGAATAAATCTGGTCAAAAATATGAATGTTAGAATAATAAAACGGCTTTCTAAAAAATTCTTCTGTACAATATACCGATCATATAATATTTTAAAGACAAAAATAAATATTTATCTCTTATTTTAAACATCGCATGCGTTTTTTTAAAAGCTGAAAATTACTTGGTAATCACAAGAAGTTTCGATACGAATAGCTGTTGCAAGGCAAGTTCAGACTAGTCTCGGAAAAATGCGCAGTGCTCCTCGTTATCTGTAATGCGTGCCAGAACGAACCCAAACAAAGACGTGATCGTAACGAGAAAAAAATCATTAAAAACTACGAGAGCACAATTGGAAAGATATACTGCTCAAAATTACCATAATCGGATACATAACTTGGACAAAGAATTCAATAATCGCCCAAGAAATGCCACAGGAATTGTGATAATCGAGGAGTAAACTGGGTACATTTTTATCGCAAGGGGCCCGCTGCAAATACTCGAATCCTTTGTTATACTCCTTTTTACCGTAGAGGGCGGTATTTGCCTCGTGTTCAATTTAAACACGTTTAGATATATTGCAGCAGGCCCTTCCGATAATGATTGTACCTATAGTAACTCATTAAATATCACTATTTATGTGGCTTTTCTTGGACAACTATTGTATTCTTCCCCCAAGTTATGTATCTGCTTACGATAATTTTGAGTAGTTGTCTTTCCAATTGTGCTCTCGTAGTTTTTAATGATTTTTTTCTCGTTACGATCACGTCTTTGTTTGGGTTCGTATTGGCACGCATTATAGCTAACAAGGAGCACTGCGCATTTTTCAGAGACTAGTCTGAACTTGCATTGCAACAGCTATCCGTATCGAAACTTCTTGTGATTACCAAGTCTTTTTCAGCTTTTAAAAGAAGCATGCGGTGTTCAAAATCAAAGAAAAAATATATATTTTGTCTTTTAAAAATTATTCGATCGGTATGTTGTAAAGAAGTACTTTTTAGAAAGTCGTTTTATTATTCAAACATTAATGTTTCTTTCAACCTGATTTATTAATTCTGCCGAGAGACCCGGCCAGTACAGTAGCTAGCTAGCAGCTGGCAACAACAACCCCATGGGGCGAACTGCTTTGCAACCCATATTTATATCAGCAGTTCGGATTGATTCTGGATGAGCTAGAATACGATTGGTAACAATTCAATACTTAAGTTTTAGGGTGGATTGATTTTAGTGGTGTGCAAAACTGCAATATCTTACATATTTCATTATTTTTTTCGGAGCGCCGGTTCTCAAAAAACGAAACCGGGACCCGGCGGCAACGGTCGGGTCCCGGTGTGATCGACCGTACCGACTCAAGCCTATTATAAATGTGGACAAATTGCATCCAAAATAAGGATCGTCCGCAATTTCGCAGACATTTTTTTTCATCTGCGTTCTGCGGGTTTCGGGTTCCTGATCCGTGCGCTAGCGATACGAAAAACGGGCCCGCGCAATAAAATACCCAAAGTTTACCGTCTATTTTTATGTGTAGTAATCTGTCTTCCCGAGTATTCATTGCTCATTACGTGAAAGTCTCTGTACAAAGTCAATGTGAAATGCATCAAGATAATCATTGCGGAATCCGTTTTTTTGCATCGCCAACGTCTGTGAAAATGCTGACAACCTTTTTTTTGGGCCAGCGTCTGTTTGGTTTACGCAGACAATCCTTATTGTCGGACCAGCGCCCCTACTGATGATAGAATAATGCCATTGAAATATTCCAATAGAAAATGTCACCAAGCCTTTTTCTTCTTAACATTCACCATAATAGTGGAGAGCCATTGTAAACAAAAACACAAATGTGAATATACATGTACATGTAGTCACTCATCCCCAAAATCATTTCCAAAATAAATTCAGTGTTTCTGGGAGAGTTGCTTTTTGTAGATGTGCACTTTAAGGGATATACATTGTACTGTATGAGCGTGTGAGCAGCGATCGTATCAATTATCGTGCTCAGGCACCACACGCATGTAATGCACTATGCAAGGGCAACCATGTGCCATGAGATCTCAATTTTTGAGAAAATCTGGTTCTACGTTAACTAACATGCGTTGCATCCTTGTATCGCAGCGAGAACATAAAGCTCGGACGAGCGCAGCTCAGGGATAATTGAAGGATGTCATTTCTGAATTCTGCATGCGTGTCACACAAAAGTCTCCTGCCCAGATCGCTAGCTCTTATTACATAACATCCCCCTAAAGGGCACATCTGCCAATGTAGATGATACAGATGGAAATGGAAGGCAATGAGAATGACCTTTTAGTTTGATTAGTACAATACATGTAGGTTATCAAACATCAGTTGGGCATTACTTGTCTTATTTTCATGGCATTATGATTATGAAGTTGGTCAATGCTTTGATTCATATTGCATTTTATGCAGATTTGTTCTCTGATATCACTTTTGAGGTCATACAAGTTATTGCATATTTCCCGCAATGTAAAATTGTACATTGTAGACTCTACATACTGATATGAAAGTGTACATGACTACCTGTACATCATGTGCACTGAAACTGAATGAGTGATTTTCTATTTCACGATATACATTATACAGTTTAAGCGTTAGCGGTGTCCTAATATTCAAATTATGCAAGGAAAACTGTTTACTTGCTAGACTTCACTTTCAGATACTATTGAGTGACTGACTGGCTTTTTTCTTCTTTGGTAATAACATACATAAAATGAGCTGTAAAAGGGTACATGAGCATTTGTCTACATCAATAACCCACTTCTTGTGATGGCCAAAATTAAACTGATTGAATCTTTGCGCAGCATAAAACATATGACCATTCGGTACAATGGTCTGAAAATCAAGACTATTACTTATTGGCTCTATAGCTCCGATTAGGCAACTAATAGTCGTTATTTTCCCACTTGAAGACATTTTCAAGCCCCACCCTTTTTAGGGAAGTTGTAAATTGGTATCATTTTTCAAATGCCCTTGGAATTTAACCATTTTTGGGGCCTGTATATGGGACATACATGTAGAACCTTTAAACGGAACCAAAACCTTCATACTACATGTACATGTACATTGTAAGTTAATTTTATTATACAGTTAAGATATTTGAATAAAATCAGTGAAAATTTGCACAAAATGGGGCAAGGAATAAGGAAGTTAAAGCTTTTTGAAATGACTAGTCACAAGAGGGCGATATTCAATTTGATGACATAAAATTTTTATATTTTTCCTTCTTTCTTGTGATTGAGATAATCTACTGTACTCCCCTGAAAGCATGATATTCTACTTCACATGTTATAAAGTCGGATCAAGAACACAAATAAATACAAACTCAAAGAAAACAAAAGAATTATGAAATTTGATGTACAAAAGGCATGGAGAGTTGTCCACAAAATTATGTCATCAAATTGAATATCGCCCTCTAGTGACTAGTCATTTAAAAAAGTTTGACTTCCTTATTCCTTGCCCGATTTTGTTCAAATTTCTACTCATTTTATTCAAATATCTTAAACTTTACAATAAAAGTAACTTAGTATTAAGGTTTTGGTTCCCTTAAAGCTTGTCTGCCAAACTTAACCACTGGAAGTCTATTTAGTGAGCCCTACATGTAAACAAAGAAGTTCATAGTAGATTATAGATAACTTAATTATTGTCATGAAATGCTAGACAGAATGTGTAAAATTAGACTTTAATCTTACATGTAGGTTCAATGTTTGATTTTCAAAAATTTATTGCAACAAATACGTGTAACTAAGCATGTAGCATTCCCCTTATAAATAGACAATATTTTTATGTTCTTTTAACTTCTTTTTCCTATTGCAGGGATTGTAATACGATTGATCAAGCAGTTTGCAATCCTAAACCTCGTTCTTGAAGAGTCAAACGATTTCTATGGAGAGAGCAGAACATAATTGACAGACTGTGGGTGACAACTCCCACCAAGCCACTCCAAGTATACAGTAGGATACAATACAAGACATGTAGCCAAGTTTTCCTGAATGGATTTGATTTAGCAAGTGTCGCATTAAAGGAAATAAACATACATTTTTTGGGCACAACATGGTTTCGTAAGATGACGGCTATGGCTCTCACCGCTTCAGGGTCGGTCACTTTAAAATTTGAAATACTACTATCCTGAAATATGGATGTGTAAAGATCAGTATCCGCAGAGAGGTCGCTGTGAGAGAAACAAATTTCAGTTCACTAGCAGAAGGACGTCTACACATGTACACAACCCAGGATATGAAATATACCTAGTTATCAAGTAGTCCTGCATTTCGGGATCCAAGTAGAGAAGAGAATGATATGTAAGCAAAGGACATGCAGACCCTAAGCTAAAGCTTTGAGGCACATAGGAGAAGCCCTGAGGACCGACGATAGAGTCTTGTGCCAACACAGTAGAAAAGACACTTACAGAACAGTCAAAGGTATCAACTTTATCATAATGATGCGGTCAGTGTTACTCTAAATCAATACGCTTTTGATGGAACCAGTTTAAGATTCTACAGCATCCGGAAGGACCTTGACGAAAGGAAGGTTTGTTCCATCATTGGAAAATACATTTAAAGAACATATTGATCCCAGCCATGCCGTCCTTATAATTTTGGTAGGACTTCATAAAGGATACTTAAAGGAATTCAGTTTGAGATTGGTGGCAGCGGTGGGATCGACCTTCAGGACGACCTTGAGGAACCCACAGGGACAGCATGGACACCAAGGGGAAAGGCAAGGGGCAGGACAAGTCTTCAGCGACCCCAGAGAATGTCAAGAAGAAGCAGGTGATGGTGATGTTGGACGGGGACCAGGTCAAGAGACCGGGCAAGAAGAAGCCCAAGGCCACTCACTCCGAGGTGGTAAGTAGGAAGGATCTCTCTACGCGCTTCTTCATCATCTCGAGATTGCCAAATTTATAGCCCGCTATTTGGGAAATAATCCTGAAGTAACAAATCGCGTCTTCACTATCTCGAGATTCGACCTCGAAACTTGAAACTCGACCTTGAGAAATTAGCTCAAGATTTTTTGCTCAGCGTTAGCGCGTATTGAGAATCTTCCGTCTAGTGAAGACGCACAGGACAAATAGCTTGATATTTTGCCAAATAGTGGGATATTTTGCAAAGTATCCCAAGATATCTTGGGATGATAATCCCGACCAAATATCCTTCTAATTGCTACTTCGGTCTGATGAAGACGCAAATTAGCTGGATAGTTTCCGATCAGGATAGTTCAAATAGCTGGATATTTGGCAATCTCGAGATAGTGAAGACAGGCCTAATCTTTCTCTTTCTCTTTAAAGCTTATCTGTACTAGTTTATATGAGGGATTAGAGCACCATGCAAGGTCACTGGACAGGTGGTTAGCTCATCAATTCAGCTCTCAAATAACATAAGAAAAAGAGGATCATGGGGGACCAATGGTCACAGATTAGGCATTGTTTTCTATTTAGAGGGAGCAAGTAGCTACAAGTAGGACAGTATGGCTTTAAGTCACAAGAAGATTCCACTGTGTTTCCATTTCTTTCGCAGTTTTCTATTATTTTGAAATGTACTTCAAGGCACAACATTCAGGACAGTTTATTAAAACAAAATGAAAAAGAAATAGTAACACAGTGAAATCTTCTTGTGACAAGGTCCATGGGACCCCCCCCCCCCCCCAGGGCGCGACAAACCCGCTTGCCCGACGTCCCGGGGCAACCAAATTGAGCCGTCGGGCAAGTAAATCAAATTATCACTTGCCCGATTCGGGCAAGTGATACTTTTACAGTAATTTCCTAGTGTCCAAGAACTCTACCATTCACCCGTCAACTTCTTACCCGTCGTCAAAATCCAGAAGCAAAAAAGCGATCGTTCCGATTTCGAAAAAACTTCACAGACAGCTAGCCAGCTCAGCTAGCTCAGCGCGCATGCAACAGTGACACTTCAAGCCATGAATGCCGCTCCGCCTCCACGCACGGCCGGCCGTGAGCTAGCTAGAGACAGCTAGCGCGATCGTACCAGCTGCGAGCTTATTCGCGCTCTCTCTCTCTAGCTCTGCAGGCCGCACCGACAGGCCTTTGCTATTCTCTGATTGCCGATTGGTTGAATCACGCCAAATATGACGTCATTATTCTAGGGAAATGAACACGTGCGAATCGGAATGGAATAAACAACAGGGATTTTCTAGTAAGTACAAAAAGTCAAATGTTTGATATTTATTCATAATGACTGTTAATGATTGTGAACATAACTCGCTGCTCATATAAATCAGATGAATGTTTTTGTCTCGTTTTCAATTTATTACTGCGGTCTCAAGATCCGACCGAGCGAGTCATTTTGATAATAGTATCGAGACCCCCAGAATATAAGCCGTTGTTGTTTTGTTTTCATGGTTTTAGCGACGTTGTTTAGTCTAGTTTTCGCATACTTATCCGAGATTTATCGTAAAATATCTTCAATATTATTATTTAGTAAGAATTTACAAATTTTGGCATGATATTTATAGCAGTGAATGATGAAATAAAAATGTCCGTACTTTATTTAAAATAGTTGATTACCCATTATTTACATGACGTTTCTTGATGGAAGAGTTGACCCAAATTATTAACAGCTGAAAATTAGCCTACGTTTCCAAATGACAGCGGCTTGCACAGACACACACGTGCGTTGATCAGCTGTTTTTTCTCGATTGTGCTAGTAAACAAAAAGTTTTGGGCAAGTGGAAATATTGTTTGGGCAAGTAAATTGAAAACCCACTTGCCCGACAGGGCAAGTGGTGAAAAAAATTCTTGTAGCACCCTGCCCCCCCCCCCCCCCCAAAAAAAAAGTACAATACATGTACCTCAAGAAGCCATAGTTTGTATTACTTAATAAAAATATAAAACTTTCCAACTTGATATTGAATGAAAAATTAGAGTAAAAAAAAGATGAATCTTGTACATGTATATCAATGTTTGGTGACAGTCCATTTGTGTAAATTTATGGTGTGTAATTTCCCACTTCTAACCTTGCCCAAACACTACATACTGTACATACGGTATACATGTACAAACTGTAAACCCTAATCCCAACCTCAGTCCTTGAGGCAATTACAATGCATACTGTAGAAACTGTCCCTGCTTGAATGACCACCTGTATAGAAAAACCGCTTGTCTACAAAGACCAAGTTTTTTTCTTTCCCTTCAAAGTGGTTTCTCATTGAAACATGTACTAAAGGAACCTGTACATAAAGACCACTTGCCTGTAAAGACCACTTTGCTTGTCTCCCTTTGGGGGTCTTTATAGACAGGTTTCATCGTACAAGGCATGTGGTGAGATTATTATTCATTTTGCTAACATTCTCTCCTTTCAGGATCTGAGCAAAGAGTTTTCTAAATGCAAGGAGCAAGGCGACAGAAGACTAGATCTCAGCAAAATGTCCGTAAGTGATTCACTCCTATCAATATCTGCAGCATCGCCATTATTACATGAACATTATCTTTTGATCTAGAATGCTAAGAATATATTACCCATAATATAGATAATATACATGTAGATATTTATATAGCGCTGGACAACGCCGGTATCCGCCATGCTCTGACGCTCATGGCGCTGTACACATGTTGCCCTGGTTGTAACCGAGCTGCCAAAGTAACTAGCACTCAAGCATATCAGGTACCCATTTACACCTGGGTGGAGAGTGGCAAATGTAGATTAATGTCTTGCGAAAGGACATTGGTGCTGCGGCGGGACTTGAACACTGTACCTTTTAATCTGCAGTCGAATGACATATCCGCTAGACCACAACACCTCTGATATGCAGGCAGATTGAGCACAGATCATTTGACAAGCTTACATATACTACAGGTACAAACTTTGTCTAGTTTGCAGATGAATAGGTTCAAGAAAGTTTTGTGCTGTAGAATATTTGAATCACAATTATTAAACACAACAAATATAGTTTGTACATGTACTGAAACATCTCTTGCAGTTAACAATTACATGTATTTTCAAAGTTACATTACACAAGACTTACTCAATGAATATGTGTAGTAAGAAGGGGGGGGGGGGGGTGATGTCACTTTATTGTGGCTATTTTGCTAATTAATTAGGAAATATACTAGGAAAATACATGAAACATTCAATTGTTGAATGTTTAAGCCATAAGGAACTTTGTGTTATGGCAGAAATCTTTTTTGTTTTATTGTTTTAACAGCTTGTTGTTGAAGATTGTAGCTGACATTTTTGGATCGGATTGCTAAGTTGCACAAGACTCATTTTATGATGCAAACATAAAAAAGAGATCTTTCTTTGGTTCCTGCCTCATTCTGTTACTACAAATGCAGTGTCTTTTGTTTTAAATCTATCAATTTTCTATTTTTGTTTTGTTTTCTTATTTTTCAGATCACAATTCTCCCTAGTTCATTGAAAGATGTAAGTATGTACAGTGTATTTAAATATTTTGTTTTCCTTCAAGTGAAACCAGAGTAAAAAAAAATAAATGAAGTAACTGCTACAAAGGCATGAGTATCAGTGGAGGAATTCAGTTGTAGCTTTACAAGAGATGCCAATCCATTCTGATTGCTCCCTGATTTTCAGGGAGGCTCCCTTAAAATTTGTTTTGTTAATACGTCACTCCGCACAAATTGTAATGCCTTCCTGATTTTTGGAACAATTATTTCTATTACCGGTATGCTAGAAATCTCTCTTATTTCTAAATGAATCCTCCCTGAAAGCTGAATGTAAAGGTTAGCATACTGTATGTGCCTTCTAAAGGTGAGACAGAAAAACTCTGGAACATGTTCCAAAACCCCAATGAACTCTAGAACTATAGATCCCTTAAAGGGGCGTGCAACTGCATGCAGACAAAAAGTCAAGAAAATGAATCCTCCATTTTAGGAAACAAAATTCTCAAATTTCACAGGAAAATAGATAACCAAGTTATGCATGTACACAATTCTTATAGATAGATACTGTGTTTATCAGCGTGTGTCTGCTAAGATGAGTAGGCCATGTTTACTAAGAAGTTTGCTAATGAGGCTTCTCACTTATTGCTAACCGAAAGATGGTAACGCATATTTATACAATGTTAGACACAAACTTGAAAACTTGCCATTGAGTACATTTCATCAATGCCGATGTCTTCTGTGCCCCATTGCATGAAACTCACCATTGATGGTAACTTTACCATCAATGGCAACTACCATGGTAACAGGGTTCAACAGCCAATCAAAATCACGGTTTCCATGTTAGTTACCATTGATGGCAAATTTACCATTAATAGTAAGTTTTGTGCGACAGGGCCCTGGTAATTCATATTCTAACTCATTTCAGTAACTCGCCATTTTCTAATTTTTATTTGCAGCTCACACAGCTCGTTGAGCTCTATCTCTATGGTAACAGACTGGTCTCTTTGCCATCGGAGATTGGTTGCCTGTGCAACCTCGAGAGGTTAGCATTGAACGAGAACTCATTGACAACGTTACCTGAAGAGCTCGAGAAATTGGGTCTACTAAAGGTCCTTGATTTGAGGCACAATAAACTTAAAGAGGTAATCCAGTTGTACATTTATTTATCTAATTATTATTTGTTAATGTTCTAAAGTTTGAAAAATAAATCCTGTGATCATCCCTGAATGGTTATCCAGAAGGCAATTATTCCCATAGATAAATACCCCAAGGATGACTCCTACTTTGGGAAAGTATATTTATTCCTGTTGCTGGCGCTTCTCTTAAAAATATGCATTGTTTTGCCAGCATTTTTGACCATCACATTTATATAACATTACCGTTGTAAACTTTGCGTCTATCATTTTGATTCATTATGATGCTAAAGTACAGTGTACTTCTAAACCTACATGTACATGTAGCTGGCTGTGATTTTGTATGCTGAACTCAATATCAGCTTACCGTACATTGTTATGGTTGATATGAGATATAGTTTCTCTCTTCTGGTATGTCACAAAATTGACACATTTGTTGATCATAGTTTAAAAATGTACTTGTTACCTTTGTCCTTGTCTTTCCTCTGAAATAGATTCCGGAAGTGGTGTACAAGCTCCTTTCCTTAACAACGTTATTCCTACGCTTCAATCGTATCACGCAAGTCGGCGAAGACATTCACAACTTAACAGTAAGTATACATTTTGTACTTGAACATCAAATACTTCATGGCGGGACAATTTCAACAACCTTCCATGAATATTTTTGTTTTTATAGAGACCAAATCTCATCTAAGATCTATTAACTATCAGATGAACATTTTCTATAAGCTCATATTGTCTTTGAAGAGCCTCTGCAAAGTCACATAATCTATTGATAATATTGTAAAGTGCATTTGAACATATAGGGTGGTATTCTCGAAAGCGGACTAACTTTAGTCCATGTATAATTAAATTAAATTATATCACTAAATTATAATAAAATGTAATAACATGATTAATACACAACAATATAATTATGTCATGGTGATTTAGGGACATATCAAATTATTCAAAAATATATTCATATGGACACTTGGCATTCCATACTTAGTCGGTGGATTAAACCATGGACTAAAGTTAGTCCGCTTTCGAGGATGCCACCCTTAAGGTTTTTATCACCTGTCACTAATTTTCTCCTGATTATCTCCATACGTTCTCAGCAATTGGTATATGTTCATGTCCTTTTTTTCATCTCCCTCCGTTTAGAAACTGACAATGTTGAGTCTGCGAGAGAATAAGATCAAGGCGTTGCCGAGAGGGGTCGGCAAGCTCACGCTTCTCACCACGTTTGACGTCTCGCACAATCATCTGGAACACCTGCCAGAAGGCAAGCTCTTCACCTCTGCTTTACTCATTCACTTCACTTCAATATTATTTGTAATGTATTCTCAGGTCTTACTTCATAAGCATTAAAATATGCTTGTAATTAATTTCGCTTTGCAAAATTCATAAAACATATATATCAACCAATCTGGTATAATGGTTATCACAAAAAAGAAAGAAAGGAAGTTAATAAGAGCGAGAAAGACAATCCTTATTATCTTATCCTTTAATAATAATAATAATGAGTTCTTGTATAGCGTTCATATCTATCAAGACTTGACACTCCACAATCAGTACCCTGGCTTTAGCATGGCTGCCATTACGGCTCTAGCATTTCAAGGAATTAATTCCTGTACCCATTGATATCACCTGGGTTGAGTGTGGCAAATGTAGATCAATGTCTTGCCAAAAGACATTAGTGCCACGGCGGGACTTAAATTGCAGACCTTGTGATCCACAGTCCAGTGCAAATCCACTCAACCACAACGTCTCTAATGATAATGGTTTAACATGATATTTTTGTCCTACTCCCTTGAACAGACCCACAAATTTCCAAGTCACAGCGGGTCCAAAGTACATGTCCACGACTAATTTGCAGCCTCCCAAAGTTCTTTCAAATAACTCCACTTCTAAAGGAACTACACTGGTTGCCAGTTCGTCAGAGAATCACATTCAAAATATTAATGATAGTTAATAAAGCTTTAAATGGTCAAACTCGTAGTTATGTTACTGAATGGTTGGAAATCAAGTCTAAAACTCATGGTCGTAACCTTCGTAGTACACAAGACACATTTATGTTGCAAATACCCCCATATAAAACCAACGTAGCCCTCGGAGACCGGTCATTTTTTTGTGCTGCCCCTAGATTATGGAATAGATTACCACTAGAAATGAGGAAAGCTCCATCACTAGAACATTTTAAATTAAGACTGAAAACTCACTTGTTCATGTGATATGTATAGCACAGCATTTCCGAGCTCTTGCAGCGCAGTAGAAAATATCCACATTGTTATTGCACTTTACAAATTAATATATTATTATTATTATAATATCATAACAGAAATCGGGAACTGTACCCAGTTGTCCTCCTTGGACCTGCAGCACAACGAGCTCCTGGACCTACCAGAGACCACCGGGAACCTGAAATGCTTGAGCCGTCTTGGCCTGAGGTATAACCGACTTACAGGCATCCCAAAGAGCCTCAGCAACTGCGTCAATTTGGAGGAGTTTAACGTTGAGGGGAACAACATCGGTATCTTACCGGTATGTATCATGAACAGGGGGTATTTCACAAAGATCTTAAGTTTAACTTATCTCTAAGTTGGACTTAACAATTATGGAAAGCCGTTAGCATCATTGAAAATATTTTGTGAAAGTCATTTTAAAAGGCGTAACATGTTGATTCAAATCCTTCATATTGTCTATTATCAAGGAGATTTCATGTTCTTGATGTGGAATTTATGACAATCTAAAATACTTGAATTTTGGCTTTTGAATGTATTTAATTTCAAGGCTACAAATGGCTTTCCATAATATTAAAGTCCAACTTAGAGTTAAGTTTAACTTGGGATCTTTGTGAAACATCCCCCAGGTGTCCCTGGAAATGTGGAGCGATTTCTAAATGTTTGTATCTTTCATTCTCATCTTACATGTGTAGGTTGAGCGAAGCATATTAGTCACTAATTTCTGATGGTGGCAGCGATAGCTTTAACATTTTATCTAACACAAAGATTACACTAAGTGCTACTTATTAATGCATATAATGAATGTTACAGACAGCAAGTACTTGTATAATAGTATTCAGTTAAATATAGTCCCTCAATTTTTCACCTGTCAAATCTGCACAGAGTTTTTCCGCCCATCTGATAGGTCAGGTCAGCTGTGCAGTATGGTCTTGTATCACCCTCTGTTCAATATTGCTTTTGCTGTCCTGTTTGACCCTTCTTAACAAAATTTGTTCTGGTTCATTTATATCACAGGAGGGGCTTCTGTGCTCATTAAACAAGCTAACAAGCATCTGTTTGTCAAGAAATAACTTCACAGCATATCCAGTAGGTGGGCCACAGCAGTTTGCAACCGTTGATGTAAGTATTCCTCACATCAGTTCTTTGATTGAAGATTCAAGTGTTATTGTCCATAGATGGAAATTACAGACATTTGGTTTCCATTGGTGTTAAATACAATATAAACATATAACCAAAATCGTGATATTTTAAGCTGAGTCCAGTGACTTATCCACTAGGCCACAACACCTTTAGGAGGGTGATTAGGGAGGTGTCATTTAATAATAGATATTGAAGTCCAATTCTCAACAAGTCAGATGGCAGAGGTATACAACCTAAAATATGAATAATAATTAACCGTTCTTGTAGAGCACATAACACATAGTAATAAAACATGTCCCTAAAGCTATGGTCACAAATCAGAGCAGCGACCGACCGATCAGTAGCCTGCTCGGTCTCTGCTGGAATTAGGCATCGCCCAGCGATTAGGTCGGTGCCCGGGCGGCGACCGCCCAGGCACCGAACGTATTTTGGGCGGCGAGTGAAAAGTGAGCAGGCGCCGCCCAAATTTTAACTCCGCGCTAAAACTTCAGCGGCGACCGAGCGATGCCCTAAAAACGAGCGGTGCCTGGGCGGCCGCCGGGCAGAATTGGTTAAAAACTCGCCGCTCGGCCGCCGAGCAGGCTACTTTTGGGTAATGTGACCATAGCATTAGTAGTCCGGCAGCCACTGAGCTACACCTCGTTTTGTTGAAATAAGTTTTTTTCTTGATGGATTCTGTTTCCTTAGACATTGCAGATGACCAAACAGAAAACTGGAGCTTTGTCAGTGTTGAGCAATTTAAGATATGGCCAAAAACAAAATGGCCACCAAAATAGCCTATTTTCAGTAAATTTTGAATTATTTCATAATACATTACAAAATATTGGCAGAATGGTGTGCTTATAATTCATGAATACCATTGTCAACACATTCCTGGTGACCATACATGAACATAGATGACCATATATGACCTAATTAGCATATTTTCCATTGTAATTGTTGCTAATTTGCATATTCAAAATGGCGGATAAATGCCAGCTGTTAAGTTTAGAATCACAATAAAATAGTATTATACTCATTTCTTTCTATCTTATGTTTTTAATTCTTAGAATACCCAAGTGTACCAAATACTTATGTCATACTCATTTGTCAATAATTACTAATTTAGATAATGGGAAAAAACAAAATGGCCACCAAAATGATAAATTTTAAGCAACATTTGCCATAAGTATTATACATTACGGAAATTGGCAGAGTAGTATACTGGTACTTCATGAATCAGAGATGAATTGATTTGGATATTTGACTTTAGGCTGTTGTATGTTTGCTCATTTACATATTTAAAATGGCGGTAATGTTAGTTTATCACACAATTTCTATCAATAGTCTATAGTAATAAACATTTGTTTTCACAATAGGTTTGAATTCCGAAAATACCATTTCGTGAAAAATGCTAATTTGATCACTCTTCTTTCATGAATGTGTTACCATTTTATAGCGACATGAGGAATTTTACCTTCACAATTTATCTTGTACGCAATTCTTTTAAGGATACGCCTTTTCTTCCTTTGCTGAACTGAGCTCATGCATCACTGTCATTTTTATTTACATTTTTTTGCTGCCAGAGTCTGATCATTTAGACATCGCACGGATGCATGGCACGCACAGAACATTGTGCAAGCTAATTTGGCTTTGTTGCATCCACATCCTGAAGATTTGCATTTGTTGTCACTTGCACAATTGCAACGTAAAAGTCTCAGTATGTTTGCAGGTGCAAGTTTTACATTTTGGTGGAATGGTTACCGGGATGAGTGACTTTGTTGCTTCGTCTTTCATGTAACCAAATGCAGTGGGATCCAATGTCCATGGATTCAATTCCGAAGCACTCTTCCAAATCCATGTTTGAAGATGGGCACGCTCAACATTATCTTTGAAAGCTACAGCTGTTGGTGGCATTGCAGCAAGATTTGGAGTGTGGTAGCTCCTGCTTTCCCGACCCGTGTAGTCCACACATTCAGTCGGGCATCTGACAGTGTCGTAGCATTGGGTTGTCCATATCATGATGTTATGAGCGCTGTTGCATCTTTCATCACGTCGGCCATATCTGCATGTATGTCTCCAATCGATGGGGATGGGAACCCATTTTTCTGCCGCAGCACCTTTAGCAAAGTTCCTTTGCCAACTCCAAAATGTGCACCAACAGTATCACAAGCTGTCAATGGGTGACCTGCTAACATAAAAGGGATGATGTCTCTGTGTCTGTCCACTGTGGCATGTATATCGATTACAGATCTGTCTCTGATGGGCGACTCCATTATCAAGGGTGACTGAAGGCCTTGCTTTTGGTAGAAATATGAAGCAGAAGAACATAGACATCTGTGTCGTCTGCAAGCACCCTGATGGATCGTCCTTCATCTGCAAGGATAATAGCCTGCTGCACAATAATCACATCAGCCTCCTCATGAGATGTGGCCATATCGTGCCGTTGGATTGGAACACCACCTGGACCTAGTTGAACAGGAGTGCCATCTTGGCTGGTGATCACAAGCTTGTGTTTTATGATGAAACCTGCATCACCTTGCAGATGTTGACAAATGATGTTAATCAACTGTTTCTTGTTCTCTGTGACTGTCAGAGTCAGTTTCTGAGACGGAAGGGGTGAAGTTGGACTCAGTTGGAAAACTCTGCAACCATCATTGCCTCTCGATATCATGGTTGTACACTTGGTACTGTAATCATTGACCTTTCAAAGACCAAGTCTCTCTTCAATCTTGCCTTTGAATTTCGATACAAAGTCCATCACTGTTGGTTGTCGTGTTGGTGATGATGAAGGTCAATTAGGAATCCAAAGGAGAGCACATCCATCGATCACTCTACACGTTTCTTCAAGTGTCGTGTGTCTAGCTGATACTTCAACCTTTGTCTCTGGTTCTTCAAAGCGGCCTTGGACATCAAACAGAGCTGTAGGAATTGGCGACAGCTCGCATGAGATTACATCATGAAATTCGACATCTCTGGAACTTGCTTGTAGACCTATCATGCGAGAGTATATCAACCTGGTATCGTATACCTTGGAATCGCCTACGTCAATTCTGAAAATCGATTTCTTCATGACAGCCATGGTTTGAACTTTCTTCGAAATTGTGTCGTAGAAACCTCCAGGCAATTTCCGTTCAAATTCACCCATTTGCTGAGCACCAGTTTCAACTACTCTGTCAACATTTACTGATTCACCTTGGTCTGCAGATATCCTTGCTGGAGCCTCTTCTTTGTGCACTGTTTTAGAACTAGCCGACTTGTCTCTCATAGTTGGAACGTCTTCCACAAATCTGATACATATGTGCAAGCTAAGGGCCCATGCAGGTCTTGAGAGTTTCTGGCTTTAGAGTGATGCCAATCACACCAGCTTTACCATGCCCATGTCGCTCCATATGCCATTCCATAAGCCTTGAGTGTGTCTCATCACATGAGACCCTTTCATGGAATACTGGAGTGCATCTCCTGGTAGGGCTTCCATGCGTCGAAGGTAGAATAACCGATATCGCGCGTAGTTTACATGTCCCGACACAAAGAAGCAGGGCATCATAAGCCTCACTGCATCCAGGTGTAGAAGCCAATCACTTTAATTCTCGTTCAGCCCGTACATAGAGCATCATTATCAGTACTGGTTTGATCAGGTTGTACCTCTACTGCAACCCTGAACAGTTAATGATCTGCAGTGAAGACAGTGGAACATTGACCAGTTTTCTCTGTTTAACTGCTGTGATTTGCTCATGGCTGTCATTATTGTGTCTGGATGTGCTGGTGGCATATCAATCAACGATAGATACACTGCTTTAGTTTTTGGTTGTGTGGCTTCTCCTTGATTGCGACACAAATGCGTATATTATCCATTGAATTCAGGACAGTTATCACGCTGCACAACATCTGCCAAGAACCTGAGGTCACATTCATTACGTCTCTGTCGAGAAACTATATGAGCGAGAACACTAAGTGGTGGAACTTGGTTCTTGACAGGTGGCATATCTGGTTTTCTTGGACTATTGTATCTCATGATGTCAAGCTTGTAGTCAATATCTCTAGACATCTCAGCCTTCTTCAGTTGTGAAATCTCTTGCTGATCATCATGGTGCATGCTTGTATCTGGCTGGGTCATGAGAACTGCAAGGGAAGTTGTCAACTATGATCTGAACAAGACCATCTTCAGCACTTGATAATGCTGTCAGTTCAGTGTTTTTCCCTGCCTCTACAGCTGCACACTTCTTGAATCGTAGCAGTTCATCATAGATGTGTGTATGTTCAACAGGGTATCTCTACAAATACATTTGCTTTGAGATGATAGGCTAAATCAATTAGCTTTAATTAAAATGCAGCGTATATGTGTATACATTGATTGCTTGTTATCGAAGTAGAAATCGCAAACAGTCAATCTCTTGTACACTTTTTTATGAATCGCCCTGTATAAATACATAAATTGCTCTGCCATCTAAAACCACGTTTAGAATTATCAAAATATATATCATATATATATATCATATCTGGTTAAATAAAATCAGAAAAGCGTTCTTAATGCAGCAATAAAACATGACAAAGTATACATTTTCACATATTCTTAAAGCAGAAAACATCATTTTGGCGGCCATTTTGTTTTTGCTTATAATCACAAATTGCTAAAGGCGACATCAATTAGCTTCAATTAAAATGCAGCTTATATATATCACAAAATATGTTGCCAGAGTGTGTATACATTGATTGCTTGTTATCGAAGTAGAAATCGCAAACAGCCAATCTCTTGTACACTTTTTTTTATGAATCACCCTGTATAAATAATGTATAAATTGGGCTCTGCCATCTAAAATAATATTTAGAATTATCAAAATATGTATCATATATATCATATCTGGTAAAAAATTCAGAAAAGGGTTCTAAATGCAGAAATAAAACATGACAAAGTATACATTTTCACATATTTTTAGAGCAGAAAACGCCATTTTGGCGGCCATTTTGTTTTTGCTTATATCTCAAATTGCTCAAGGCTGACGGAGCTCCAGTTTTTTGCTTGTTCATAGTGGATACCTAGACAATCAGAATCCATTAAAAAAAAAACTTATTTCACCAAAACAAGGTTAAGCCCCAAATCCAGGTTTGGCTGCCGGACTATAGCGCTCTAGAGAAAAACACAACAGAATACAAAGACAAGATGTACTGGGTATCAGGGGGAAAAAATAAAAAATAAAAAAAAATGGATGAAATGTTAAATAACTGCTTCTTTAAAGCAATCTTAAACTTAACAATGGAGTCAATGTTTTTTAGATGTTCCTGGAGATTGTTCCATAAAAAAGACCATAAAAGACTTCTACAGTACTGAATTTTACATGCTTCTCACATGGATTTTATGATATATCTGTTTGGCGCTTAGAGACATCATCAATATATTAAAACGCTATATAAGTGGAATATTATTATTATTTTCTTCTTTGATTTCATTCTTTCATTGACAGACAATTAACATGGATCACAATCAGATTAATAAGATCCCCTTTGGGATCTTCAGCCGATCAAAGTACTTGACCAAACTCAACATGAAGGATAATCAGTTAACAGCACTGCCACTAGGTGAGTCCGTACATCACACTTTTAAGCCCCACTGCACTACTTATAGCTACTTGCGCCCTCTATACAGCCAACAATGCCTAATCGGTACCCATTGGTCCCCAATGATCCCCCTTTTCTAATGTTAATTGAGAGCTGAGTTGATGAGATAACCACCTGTCGTGACCTTGCAGGGAGGTCTAATCCCCCTGTCCAAATTAGTGCAGACGGGCTTTAAAGCGATACTTAACTAATAAGCCATCTGTCCTAGCATACTTTTTATCGCACTGCACCATCTCATAGTCAGCTTGCCAACCAAGTGTTACCCAATGCCTTATTTCTATTTCGCAGACAAAGGACTAAATTAGCGCAAAATAAGCGCGACACAGTCAGAGGTCCAATATTAGATGCGCGCAAGGCAAGGTACGCTGATTCGGCACTGACTTTTAATCCATTGGTTATTTTAATGAGGTTTTAAACCATGGGTTAAGTTAAACCTCCTATGGCCTATGGCTTTATGTCATTGGAAACGTGTTGCTCCTGTTGTTTATTTCTGGAAAGTAAGGCCAATGAAACATTTATTTTATTTTTCATTTATTCATTTATTTATTTGTTTGTTGTTTGTTGAATCTTAGATGTGAACAGCTGGACGAGCATGGTTGAGCTGAACCTGGGCACCAATCAGATCAGTAAGCTGCCTGAGGACATCGAGCACCTGACATCACTGGAGGTTCTCATCCTCAGTAACAATCTCCTCAGGGTAAGCTAGTTATGTAATAATGATAGTAGGCATTTGTATAGCGCCCTCTATCACGATAATTCTATTCCGAGGTGCACTATTCAATTATTACCTCGGCTTTAGCCTAGCTGCCATTACAGCGCTCCAGCATTTCAAGGAATTGATTCCTGCCAGGTACCCATTCACCTCACCTGGGTCGAGTGTGGCAAATGGAGATTAATGCCTTGCCTAAGGACATTAGTGCCGTGTCGGGGATCGAACAACGACATTTGAATTTCAAGTCAAGTGCTTAAACCACTCGACTACGACATGTCTTGTAAATACCTTAATGATTACAGCTGCCAGAGCTAAAGCCAGGGTTATCATATCCAAGCTTAACATGAAAAAGAATAAAGCAATGTTTTATCAAAGACAAGTTACAAAATATTATACAGTTTAAAGAATGAACAAAAAAAAGGTGATGAAAGATAAGCATAGAGATTGAATGGTTACAACACCTTTCAAATGTATGTCAAATCAAATTAAGTGTCCTTTGAATGATAATGAATCTCTGGTATTCATTTTTTCAGGGAAACATATTTATGATTTAAGACTGGATAGTGAGGTCTTAATTGATGAGTTCTTGTGGGGATTTTGTCTTTTTCAGAGACTTCCGACCAGGATTGGGAACCTGAGTAGGCTGAGAGAGCTTGATCTAGAGGAGAACAGGCTGGAGGCATTGCCATCAGAATTAGGTGAGTCAGAATTGACCAGCTTACTTCAATATTCAAATATATGGATGTTTCTTTCCTGGGAACCACCTAGTGACAAAATTTTTGTATTAACGACGGGTTAATGGAATAAGTCGCTAGGAATAGTCAGCATTGACCGATTTACATCATTATTCAAATGTATGGATGTTTCTTTCCTAGGGACCTAGTGATGAGTTATTCCCTTAACCTGTTATTAATGAATAAACTAAATTAGTTGGAATCCTGTCTGCATATATACTTGTTCCTATGTCAGGCAATCCTTGGCTATGAAGGTTTCTATTTTCTTCCAGAAAATGGAAACACCTTTGGTCATCTTGGCCCATGTTTCAGCCTCAAGTTTTTAAAAAACAAAGCATGCTGTGTCCTAACTTTGCTATTGAAATTTCATCATCGACCGTCCCATCCTGGTCCCAACCCTAAAAAATCCACACAGTACTGCCAACTTGTAAGCATCCCAAAAACATTTCCATGGTATGTTTTATGTTATGACTCTGCATTTCATTTGGCTCTGATTAGCATATGACTATCATGATATCTAATTTTCAACTCATTAATCCCACTTGGGAAGAGAAAGATTGACACTTGATTATTGTGTATACTATTTATTAATTTTGTTAATTTTTTAGCTTACCTGAAAGAGCTTCAGAAGTTATCTGTACAGACAAATCAACTCACACAACTCCCCAGGTCTATTGGGTAAGTATATGCATGGTGCTGTTACGCTTATTGAGAGTGTATTCAAACTTATGATTTCTCTATATACAGTATAGATGTTTATAGGTGAAGTTCTTAATGGGAACTAGAAGTTAGCACAAGTGCTAGTCGAGCCTGGTTCCATTCTTTGACAATATCTTTATCTGTTAATTTGTTTATAGGTGAAGTAGAAGAAGATCATATTTTGATTATATTGTAGCAGTGGCATACATGCCAACTGTTCAGATTAAAGAGGAACATTCCTCTTTTTGGGAGAAGATAATTATCATTTTAATGCAGGTGTTCCTCTTCCTGTACAAATTTGTCTGTAGTATTGAATAGGAGAGTTAGGATTGTTCCTCTTTTTTTTTTAAACAGCATAATTTGTACAGATTTCTGATTTTCAAATGTTGGCATGTATGCAGTGGTAATTGCATACTTGCTCTTGCAATAATTGCTATTGGCTTTATTTCGTGGAAGATAAAAGGATAGGGTTAGGGTTGCAATTTTGCTTTAGAGTAGGTTAAGGGCCATGGGATTAGGAATATGGTCAGTGCAGGAAATTAGCGCTAAAAGAGCCTGGCAGGAGCAAGTGAGCGTGACTTCACCTTACAGAGAGCGTGCGATAACATTTGATGATTGGTCCCCTGCAACTGTACTTGTTCATGTTTATCTAATGCTCTTCTGTTCTTTTCTGCCCCCATAGTCGACTGTCTAATCTGGTGTACCTGAAAGCAGGGGAGAACAACTTGGCCTCATTACCAGAAGAAATAGGTGAGTGCTCTCATCACCCAAACAGTGTTTTTACTACCTCCACAGTGTAAATATTTGTTGAATATTAAAGTGACTCGGTAACATTGCCTCAGATTCTGAAGACAAATCCTGGATTTAGCTCATGCTGCAATCATAAGTATAAGCCTTTGGGTCAGTCTGGAATCCCATGACTTTTACAAGCCGATCACCTATCTGATTATCAAGATATTTATGATTGGAAATCGAAATTTCAATTTATAACACTAGTCTATTGGGGAAATTGAGTATGATATTAACTGGTCACTCAAAGCTTTCTATTCATCATCCTATCAGGTCCCCATTTTTCTCCTTAGTATCGAGTAGCAAATGTAGATTAATGCTGTGCCAAGGGACATTAATGCCATGTCGGGATTATACCGACAACATTTCCATTTCAAGTAGAGTGCTTAAACCGCTCGTCTATGACACGTCTAAAAATATATCACAACAAATTTGCCAGAAATAATGCTGTTAGTGATAGTCTGATTGTAAAAGATTGTATTCTCATACAGGCTCACTGGAACAGCTACAACAGCTGTACATCAATGACAATCTCAACCTGAATCATCTCCCGTTTGAGCTGGCCCTATGCTCCTCTCTCCAGATCATGAGTATAGAGAATTGCCCCCTCTCTCAGATACCGCAAGAGGTGGTAGCGGGCGGGCCCTCCCTCGTTATACAGGTAAGCATTCTTTTATCCCCACCCTGTTCCCCCTCCTCCCCCTCCTCATTAGCGTGATTATAAGTATAGAGAATTGCCCCCTCTCTCAGCTACCGCAAGAGATAGTAGCAAGTCGGTCTTCCCCTGTTATACAGGTAAGCATTAAACCTGCCCTGCCCCTTCATATCAACGTCTTACCTCACTCTCCCCTCCTACCCCTCCCCCCCCCCTCCCTCTCCCTCCCACCCTCTGCTCCTCTCTCCAGAAGAGAATCACTCCCTCTCTCAGATACCGCAAGCGGTGGTAGCAGGCGACCCTCCCTTGTTACTTTCATGTAAGCATTAACCCCTATGCTACTTCCTTCTTCACCCCTTCCTACCACCATCCTGCCCCCTCCCCTGCTATTCCCTTGATGCAGTAACCCGTTTCTTATAACCCATTAGAAGTTGGAGCATCAATCCTGGCTATGCAACTCTCTTGATTTGCACAGCTGTTTCTGAATTATCTGTTCAATCAGGAATCCACCATTGTGCATAACTTTGCAACTGAATGTTGTCTTTATTTCTTTCATTTCTCTTTTTGACCGCCAAGAAATAGTTATGTATAGTTAAACATATTTCCTATTCTTTTGTTCATACATTTGTCTTCAAAGCATATGATCTGTAACTCTCTGAGAAAATACATTGTTTAAAAAAATAATTTGATAATCTTGGTCTGTTATAATTTTTTTTATTTGTTTATGTTTTTGTTGTAGTACCTGCGATACCAAGGTCCCTACCGTCACATGGTGTCTCTGTGATTGCGTTCGAGGACGACCCGGAAATTATGCAAACAGTACCGTGTAAACACTTCAAAACTATAATGGTAATTTATGTGTATATTCCATCAAGAACGCCGGCTGTGTTCACGCTAGTAACTATAATCAAACTGCAAACGTCAAGTGTTTTTAATCAATGTGAACAACTTTAGACTGTATTAAAGAGGGTTGTCAGTTCTTGTCAATCGGTGAGACTTCTTCTCAAGGTGTCGTGTGAATGCATTCCACTGCAAATCCCCTCGTGTTTATACAACTCCTACCTACGGCGCAGAGCTGTGTTCAGACTGAATTGGAGGTGAACGCGGCCATGCTCTGTTTATCACAGTAGTGAATATATCCTGTCAAACGTGAACACACCCCAGGATTCCCAGCAAAAGACGGATCGAGTGTAACTGGGGATATCGTCACTGCGAGACGATTCAATCCTGCGCAGATTTGTGTACTTTTACAAGTGTGGATGCATCATAGGGCTTGCAATGGCTTCATTTACACCAGAGACTACATGTACAAGAAACCTGACAGGACTTGTGATTTTGCAATAACATCGGAAGCTATTGCATTTTGAATGCAAACATACCCTGTGTCCCGTCATCTTTGGATTGGATCGTGCAAGTGACACTAAGAAAGGGAAATCTCTGCGTCAGGCTCTTCCGTGGTCGCGTATCTTTTATTTTGTTTTTTTGGCCAAAAAATGTAATCTCTACATTAATATTTGTTGTTGTCATCGGTGTTGTTTAAATGCTTAAAGAACATTATAAATATATATTTCATGCATTTCTTTGTTTTTAATACAAGCTTCATAGCTTTTCAACAGTCTCAAAAAATGGAACTGTGTCTGTAATTGTCCACGCAGTAGATAACAGTTAATTACTATTTTCAAACATAGAGGGAGCCTTGGATCTAGTTTTTGGTTCTAAATCATGGAAACAGATTTAAATCAGCATTGTCTAAGTGTCTAAATTCATGATGGTGCATACAAAGATCTCATCTAATCGTCCTGTCAAATGTAAACACACCCCAGGATTCCCAGCAAAAGACGGACCGAGTGTAACTAAGGATATCGTCACTGCAAGACGATCTAGTCCTGCGTGGATTTGTGTACTTTTACAAGTGTGGATGCATCATAGGGCTTGCAATGGCTCCATTTACACCAGAGACTACATGTACAAACCTGAAACCTGAACAATAGTTTAGTAAAATAAGGAATTAGTTGTCACTGCTGTACATTCAATATGGAGCCGGAAGAAACCTTGTCTTATCGTCCCCGAAGGTCGCCATCTACTGTCAAATGTCATACATGTATTTGCTGTAGGGTCGGATGGTCTGTAATTGGGTTTTCACAGTCGGGTATCAGTCCATGAGATACAATTATTCTCATTTGGGGAACGACCTTCAAAGACAAAGTTGAGTTTAGAGGACTGTTTCATAATTATTTTTTTCTATAACAAATTATAAAATTCTATGACAGGTTTAATCAGTCCATGAGATAAAATTATTCTCATTTGGGGTGCGACCTTCAAAGACAAAGTTGATTTCAGGGGCCTGTTTCATAAAACTTTTTTTCTATAACAAATTATAAAATTCTATGACAAGTTTGCTCCCAGCCAATCAAATGCTACGATTTCAGTAGCTTATAACAGTTATTGTAGCTTGTTACTGGTAAGACATTCGATGGAACAGGGCCTTGGGGGGGGGGGGGGGGGGGGGGGGTGTTTCACAAAGATCCAAAGTTGAACTTATCTCTAATTTGGACTTAAAGTTATGGAAAGCCATTATCATCTTTGAAAATATTTTGTAAAAGTTATTTTGAAAGGCATAAAATGTTGATTCAAATCATTCATATTTTCTTTCATCAAGGAGATTTCATGTTCTGGATGTGGAATTTATAAAAAGTCTAAAATACTTTCTGCTTTTGAATATATTTCATTTTAAGGCTCCAATGGCTGTCCATACTTTTTAAGTCCACCATGGAGATAAGTTCAACTTAGGATCTTTGTGAAACACCCCCCTGGTCATGCAATTTCATTATGCAACAAACTATCTAGAAGTGTTTGGTAAAGGTTGACCATGTAGCACATAACTAAGTATTGGTGAATTCTATAAGTCATGGAATTTTCAAAACGATAAGAAATTGGCACAGTCTTGCCGAAAGCCACATGTACTGTACGCATAAATGTGTATATGGGATTGAGTGACTATGTGTAATGGAATTGTTGTCCACAACACTTTAGCTATTCCATGTCATATTTCGAATTGGACATTATTTGAAGAGCCATCCTATTCTGGGGACCTTGTTTTTCCCTTACAAGATTCTTCAACAATAACATAATAAGAATGAGTAAAATGTCTAAAGACAAAAACCTCCAAAATTATTTTTCACCTTTTCCAGAAAACGTTCTCTTTAATGTCACCATACAAAATGCAGTTTTGAACGGAGGTCCTTTTTAGTCAGGACCCCGTTTCATAAAAATTGTTATCAATAACAAGTTACAAGCTACTGTCATAAGCTACTGAAATCAAGACATCAGATTGGCTGAGAGCAAATTTATCATAGAAATTAAGAAATTGTTATAGATAAAAAAAATTATGAAACAGGCCCCAGATTGTAGATAAAAGCAGACAGCTGAATTCTAGAACAACTTAGATCTCAAAAATTCTGTTACCTTCTCATATCTGATCGATGCTGAATGATAAGCTTGAGTTGTGGTAATGATAGAAGATAAATTCTCACAGAATCCAACAAAACTTGCACTGAATGTACAAGATTACAAATAAATGACATGTGCCAAACGATTTTGGTAGAAAATTCAAAGGGGTTGAGTAACGAGCATAGAAAGATATAAGGAAATCAAGGTAAGTATATGTAGGCCTGCCATCATGTGCTTAACACAGGTCACTGTGTGCAAATGAGAGTTGAAGATGATTTCCAGCTAGGTTTTTGTTATTTTACTGTTTCAAACAATCAATTTACTGCAGGATAAACAATCCAGAATGAATTAAAGCCATGTTCTCTCGACATACAATGCCAATACCAGAGCTCAAGATAAGCTTGAAGTGAAGAAAAAAAGTTTTTAAACATCAAATACGCCCTTTTTAAGCAAAGGGGATCATTGTATTAACTCATGGACATATGTATAAACTGTACTAAGTATATGACTGTTTATTATAGTTTGATTGATATACTGTCTATATATTGTCATGTTGTTTTAGTTTCAATGTCTGTGCAAATCTCAAGTTTATATTGTTCTTTTGACTTTCATACAGTGAGTATACATATTTAGGAAAGCTAGGGGAAAGATCTCACTATGAATATGACGGACAAAGAAAGAGGACAAAATACACAGTTCCTCATTGTACCCTCAACAAACTGTCAACAATTGCTGTGGTATACAAAGGAACATCCATCCCTTCACTGCTGTTATGTAAAAATCTGTAGAACAGGAGTCACATGCATATTCACCTGCTCTACACATTTTACTAATAGCAGCGGAGGGATGTTCCTTTGTCTACCACAGCAATTGTTGAGGGTACAATGAGAAACTGTATATTTTGTCCGCTTTCTTTCTCCGTCATGTTCATACTGTCTCTGTGTATTGCCAATATTCTGTACAAAACAACCGTGGAAAACATTCTTAACTTGTTATTTTTTGTGTTTTTAGAAGCAAGCTATACTATTTGCAACGTCTTTACTATATCATGATATACTGTAACATACTTATGGAAATTAGCACCGATTGTTAGGGGGTCATTTGTGGTGTATTACCGAGAAATAGTGCTCTCTTGTTATGTCTCTTTTAACCAATATGGGAAGCGTTTTATCATTATGATGATAATTATGATTATTATGCAGCTCTTTTTTCTCCAAATTGGCACCACTTGTATTGTTCTTTCATTGCAACATTTTTTTTCTCTCTCAGTAATGAAACAATTTCTTTATGTTAAGGTTTACAATAAGCGCGTCTTCATCATCTCGAGATTGCCAAATAGCCCGCTATTTCTGATTTGGGAAATAATCCTGAAGTAACAAATCGGCTCTTCACTATCTCGAGATTCGACCTCAAACTTAAAACTCGACCTTGAGAAATTAGCTTGAGATATTTTTCTCAGCCTTAGCGCGTATTGCGAATCTTCGGTCTAGTGAAGACGCACGGGACAAATAGCTGGATATTTTGCCAAATAGTGGGATATTTTGCAAACTATCCCAAGATATCTTGGGATGACAATCCTGACCAAATATCCTTCTAATTGCTACTTCGGTCTGATGAAGACGCAAACTAGCTAGATAGTTCGCGATCAGGATTGTTCAAATAGCTGGATATTTGGCAATCTCGAGATAGTGAAGACGGGCCTCATGACACTAACTGTCAAAAAGTAAGAAGGCAAATAAATGTAAATTTCTATTTGCAAAGATCGATCAGTTATAACTTGGCAAGATGGTGCAAGTTTGAGAATTGTTTACACTTTATTCCCCCCTTCTTAAGAAAAAAAATAATAATATGACCGTACTGTTCAGTGTTCGGTGTAATAATCTGTTTTAACTTATTCATTTTGTGGCCAGAATTTAAGACTTCCTTTTTTAGCTGTTAATTTCCATGTTTTCTTGTCCATAAAAACGACAATTCTTTCTTGTCCATAAAAACGACAATTCTTTCAGGTAACAAGCATGATACAGTAGACAAAATAAACAACATCCAAACGAAATTGCTTACATGTACATGTTCTTCATTTTAAAGTGTATCTGTTTGATGTTTACAGTTTTGTAAGTGTGTGTATTATGGTCTGTACTGCTTTTAGTATTTTCATTTTTTGCCTTCTTCAGCATTATTGCTCTTATCAATTATGAATTGTGAAGATGATGGTAAAGTGCGTGAGAGTTTGTATTCGTGGATTAGTTCTCGCAGACAAATTGATGCCACTTCATGAATACATAAAATTAAAGGTATAGTTGAGTTCTGTTGCAGAGGGCGCTACACAAAATATTTCCTGTGTGAGATAATGAAAAACTGAGTGTCAAATTTGAATGACAACATCATCTTTGTTTGATCAAAATCGGTTCAGAGACGGCTGAAATATAACAATTTCTAATACTTGTGTACGACCACAAATATTAGATAATTTGAAAAGTTTGAAAAAACCGAAATAACGCCTTTTACGTCGTATTTCAGCCAATGCCGATGTAGGCTTTTTTGTTGGCATTTTCGTGTTGCTTATATTACCCACAATTAGCCGGCTCATGAATTGTTATTTTTATTTAAATAATCAATTAACGGTCACCGTTTTGTTTTTTTTTTAAAGTGGAGCTGAATTGGAATGATCGTATTGGCTAAATTTCACACATTTTGGGGTCTAAAATTACCTTCATAGCAATTTTAGGTTTTAAAAAGGCACTATAAATGTCATAGATAAGAATAATCATGCACTTTGAAGGCATTTGCGGTCTAAAAACAGAACTCAACTATCCCTTTAAAACCAAGGTTGTGCTCATGATGCGGTACATCACCGGTAACCATAAATGCAAATTGCGAAGTAGTGGAGTGATGTGTTCATAAGAACGTGTGCGTGTTACAAGCCTGGCAGAGTTTTGGATTCTCTGCGTGAGTCCGGAAGGCCATAATGCGGTGGTCACATCCCGCCGTACTTGCAAGTGCGTGCTGTCTACGTGCAAAAACGTGGGCAAAATTTGGGTATCCGTACGTGTTGAGTACCGCCTCGGTACGGATTTGGGAGCACGCAGACACACCGTAGCACTTTTAGTGCATGAGGAACTTTCGCTGCGTTCGGGCTGCGTTCGGGCTACCGATTCACCCCAGTGCGTGTGACGTGCGTGCCCGGTACTGCCAACGAGCGCACAACGCACTGACTCCGTGCGTCTTTTAAAGGCGCACGTTATAAGTGCGTGGTCCGTGCTTACTCGCCACTTCCCCAGTTTAGCTATCCAATGAGCACGCAGAACTCACGTGGACCGTACCGAGTAAGCACTTACAACGTACATTGTTCGCACTGATGCAGTAGATAGTCTCTTCGGTGGAATGGGCGGCATCTTGAGGCAGCAACAGCTGGGACTTCTGGAGAACATCGGAATGTCGTCCTATATATAAACACGAGTTCATCGCACGTGCACGCACTTACAACATGCGAGTGAGTAAGGACACCGTACGTGAGCAGCACTTGTAAGTACGGCCTCCGTACGATAACGTGGCAACCGCACGGAGACTGTACGTTGTAAGCACGTTGTAAGCACGTACAACGCACTTACCACGTGCGCAACTTACGATGCACGCAACCGTTCACGGCCAGGCGTGGCGTGCGGGCCACGTACTTACACAGTGCGTGTGACGCGCGTTGCCGGTACTCCCTTCCTGCCTTTGCCACTCCCTCCCTACGTTTTCAGAAAAACGTGGCGGCCGTGGCCTCCCCAAAAACCGTACGGACTAAAAACACGCACGGTGGGATGTGACCAACGCTTTACGAAGGCTACCGAATAGATTGATT